GGAACCGTATTGTCTTTGGTGTCTTGATGAAATAGCATTTGTTCAAATAAATATTTGTGGTATCAACCAAGGCCAAGAAAAATTCCTAGCCTCAGTTTTGTCAGAAAGATAGAGAGCCTCCCTGGTGGTGCAAGGGGTTAAGATGCAACCTATGAAGCTCTCTGCAGCCACTTCAGTGCAAGTTCGATCCCCCACCATGGAGCTACCCACATGGTGCAGCAGACCTCTCCTGTCTTGCCCGCTGCTCCCCTCAGCAGTGTATTTCAGACAATCTGCCTGTTCTGTTCCCTTCTCTGTCTCTGGTGAATCCTCTCAGCCCCTGCACCTCTGGCCTGTATCCCAGTTCTTGTATGCATAAATAAATATTTAAAAAAAAAAGAGAGAGAAGTGTTGGGTGGTCTCAGGATAACTGTTGGTAGGCATTAAGAAGAGTACTGCCAGGGCCTCCCTGGTGGCGCAAGGGGTTAAGCACCACACTATGAAGTAATCCGCAGCCTCTGCAGCATGAGTTCAATCCCCAGCCAGCCAGGGAGCAACCTACATGGCGCAGCAGACCTCTCCTGTCTTGCCCGCTGCTCCCCTCAGCAGTGTATTTCAGTAGATCCGGCTGTTCTCTTCCCCACTGTCTCTGGTGAATCCTCTCACTCCCCACATCTCTGGCCTGTCCCCCAGCTCTTGTATGCATAAATAATCTTTAAAAAAGAAAAAAAGAGTACTGCCTTGGGGAAGGGCTGGAGCAGCAAGGCAGGTTTGTCACAGTTAAAGGGTGTGTGTGTTCTACTGAGCGGCCTTTTCCTCCTGTCATGTGACCTTTCCCCATGGAAACCATTTCAAACAGAGGGGGGGGATTCCCAGACACCCACGGAAACATACTTTACCCCAGAGAACCAAACTGTGTTGGGAACAGAAACCAGAGGAGAAAACAGGAAACTTGGGAACCGGGCAAATACCCCCAGGGTAGCTCTGTGTCACAATTCATCAGTTAACTGAGCTAACCTGGAAGCAATGGTTTTTCACAGCTTGCCAGGAGAGCAAACCACAGTTCACAGCATTGTTTCCTTGGGAAAAAAATGCCTTAAATTGGAGCATAGCTGGCGTTGAAAGGAGAGTCTGTAGGAGAGAATGGGTAGTCCTAAGCTTAGTGGGCACAACCAGAAGGCTGGCTATCTGGCATTATGAGAGAAAGGTCATAGTAAATTACACCCTTTGGTCCTGTTTTGATTTACAAAGCAGCTTGATAACAGTATAGATGAGATTCAAGAGGCAGGTGTCCTATGTGTGTCTGGGGGCTGCTGGCTTTAGAATCTGATGCCAGGGACGGCACTAATTCTCCCTGATATTCCTGGGGCCTTGGTCTGAGCAAGTTTTGATCATTAGAGAAGGCAGAAGAGCCATTTTTTCATCTGATTTGGAGATGCCGGGCTGGGACTCCTCAAGGGACTACTTTAGACCTCCAAAGACCTAACTCTTCAGCATCCTTAGCACATCCTGGTTCATGTATTTTCAAAGTTGCCAGTTATTCTGCAGATCCCCTTAAATTTCCTTGAGTATAGAGAGAGTATCTCCTCTTTAAAAAAAATCTTCCTGGGCCTCCCCGGTGGCGCAGCAGTTGAGCGCTGGGTTGCGAAGCTGCCCACAGCCTCTGCAGCACCGGTTCGATCCCCGGCCGCTGGGCGAGGGTCCCACATGGCGCAATAGACCTCTCCTAACGCGCCTGCTTCTGTTCCCCGCTCTGGTGAATTCTCTCACCCTCCCACGCTTCTGACTGTACCCAGTGCGTGTATAAATCAATCAATCAATCAATCAATCAATCAATCAATCTTCCTTTGATCCAGGGCGAAAAGCGAATGAGAAGGAACGGCAGGCGGCCCTCCAAGTGGCCGAGGGCTTCATCTCCCGCATGAAATATGCCCCAAACACTCAGGTGAGGACACACCCAGAATCCAAGCCCTCCTCTTGGGGCTCCTGCTGTGGCCTGATAAACCCCAGACTGGACAAGAGGGGCAGGAAAGCCTTGGGGACAGTCAGGAACCATCAGGCCTCCTTGCTAGACCTACCCAGGGTGACTGGCCTCAATTTGGCAAAATTTGAAAAACACTTATTTTTAGAAGGAAGCTGGGCATCACTTCCTTGAAACCTGGGGCTGGGTGTGTCCTTGAATAGTTCATGCTCCTCCTCTGGGCCTCTGTCCCTAGCTCGCACCAGGCCTTCTTGCCCCCAGCACTATTCTCTATAAGCCATTCCAAGGGGAACTGATAAGGCTCATCTCTAATCAGTGCATCTATCCAGCAGAGCACCCTGGTCCTCGGAGCAGCCTGTTTTCTCGGCCAGTGTCTCTGTAGTCTTCTCATCTCTTGGCTCATCCAGAGGACCATCTCTGGCCTGGGCAGCACGAGGACTCAGGCCTGATGCCGAGCACCTTCCTTGTGGCTCCAGCTCTCCCCGTCCTCCCTGACACAGATGGAGGTTGCCGCCGTTGAGCCAGACTTCTCCCTTCTGTTTCTGCAGGTAGAGATCCTGCCCCAAGGCCGCGAAAGTCCTATCTTCAAGCAATTCTTCAAGGACTGGAAATGAGGGCGAGGATCTCCCTGCTCTCACCTCCTATCTACTGGCTCCTCCTTCTCCAGCTGCCCGGTCAGTGCTGAGGAGTCCCCTTCGGATGTTCAATAAAAAAGACAAGAGCTTTCCCGCCTCTGCCTGCACTACCTGCTAATTCTCACTGCCTCACCTTTTCGCCTGGGCTCATCCCCGTGCTGGGATGGAGTAGGACACAGATGACAATTCTACAGTCTCCAAGGGGCCACAGCTAGTTTGTGTGATTGAAGCAGAGGGGACAGGCGTTCCCTCGGACCTGGCAGGTACTGGTGTAAACCCAATAGGGAGGTGGCACAGTGCCAGGTGTCAGGATCGATTTCAGCCAGGGGTTCAGTTCGGTCTCACATTCCCAACGGGGAGATGGTTGTGTGGCAATGGGCTTGGGATGCCTCTCCACTCAAGCCAGTCTTTCCTCAGATGCCCTAATAGATCATTCCAAGGCACTTTCAAATGCTGTATACTTGCTGAGCCGGAGGAGGACGTTTTACTACCATGCAGAAATATGGCTTCTTATTTCCTCGGCATGGTGCCTCACATATTCATCCTACAGCATAGGGCTGTAGGAAATTCACCAACTAGTGTTGAGATTCATGGGGTGTGGTTCTCATTATACCCCCATTTGATCCTGGGCAAATAGTTTTTCTGAGTCTACGGCCTTAGTTCACCTTGTGGAATGGGGTAGTAGATAGCTAATAGGCTAGATAGCTAAATAGGGGGGAGAATGGAATAGTCCCAGAGCAGTCCCATCTGGAGAGCATGACTCCAGGGGATCAAAAGCAAGATGGGAGCTGTGTAAACTCGGGCCAGAGCCCCTGAGGCCTGGCTGGGCTGCCGCCATCCTGATCTACCCTTACGCTGGAGCTAAGGGCCGTGTGACTTCTCTCTGACACCCTGGATGCTTCCATCCCAAATGAAATTCTGATTGAGAAGATTTTGTGCCAAGATGCATAGAAAAAGAAATCAGTCCCTCTGAGTATCCTTCCTTCCCTTTCCTCCAGACTCTTCCTGGCCATTTACCTGGCAGTTGCTGAAAGCATCTACTGGATGGCTTTTAAAAGGGGAGAGTAAGAGCTGTACTCAATCCATGGTTCTGACACCTTTAGGGTTGTGAAGAATTTTAAGTGTCCCACAAAAGACCTAAATAGGACTTTCCCAAGAAAAATACAGACTTAGATTTTTGTATCTACTTTCAGAGGGTTCTAACACCCCCACCCCCACCCCAAGCAGTCTATCAGCAGAACCATAGCTGAGTTCTCGGACTGTTGGTGTTAATGTGCCAAGGTCTGAAGCTATGAGCACTGTTGTTGGAGAAAATTACACAGAGAATGACATAGGAAGGCTCTTGCAGAGGCCATTGGCCTCCTCTCCAGCTAGAGATCCGGGTGCATGCTCCCTGGCTGGACTGCAGGATGAGCATTCAGACAGGTCTGATGAGTTAGCCTTTCGTCTCAGAGCAGGGAAAAGGGATCTGTCACTCTGTCACCTCCACGGAGTGGAGGCTGACCTGCAGCCTTTCTCCCTGCATCTCCCTGCATTCCAACTCCACTGGAGCAGTCATCTCCCTGCCATCTCTGTTGGTCAGCCAAGGGACCCATCAGAAGGAAGTGGGGTAGACAAAGGATTAGTTCAGTTTGGGTAAAAATGACACAAGGCAAATTGCAGGATCCACTATCAACACCTTGAGGTTGATAAGGAATGGCTTGTAGAGAATAGTGCTGGGGGCAAGAAGGCCTGGTGCAAGCTAGGGACAGAGGCCCAGAGGAGGAGCATGAACTATTCAAGGACACACCCAGCCCCAGGTTTCAAGGAAGTGATGCCCAGCTTCCTTCTAAAAATAAGTGTTTTTCAAATTTTGCCAAATTGAGGCCAGTCACCCTGGGTGGGTCTAGCAAGGAGGCCTGATGGTTCCTGCTGACAGCAGTTGAGAGTTCCTTTCCATTTTCTGGGTGATCATCTGTTGTCACCACCTCCGTGATGGGTTCAATGGGTCAGACTTGGAGAGGCCCACAGAAACTAGACAATGGTGTTCCAGGGCACAGTTCCTCCTGTCAAGAGGACAGGAGAGCCTAACAAGTCACCTGCTCCCTGCTCAGCCTATCTGCCTGGAGACCCTTTTGTGACTGGAACAACAAAGTCAGCTTCCCCAGGAGCAAATTGTAGGAAACATCCCATGTGGACACCTCACACGAGTAGATCTTAAGAAGAGCCAGGGCATCTAGCCCATTGGTGAGAATGTCAAGGAGTCTGAGGCTGCTAGGGCAGGATGGTCATAGGGTGAGCCCAGCAGGAGGTTGGCCAGGGCAAAGCACCTTTTCTCCTGGAGCCCAGAACCAGTGCCATCACCCAGTTGCTATGCCTGGCTGTCATCAGGCCCTGGGACAACAGGGTCACAGAGAGCTGCAAAGCTTGTCTTGGAGGCAAATACTTAAGATCTTTAACCCAATACAATTTTATTCAAAAACTGCTGGTGTGTGCATATCTGCTTTCCCTCAAGCAGGCCAGAAACCCTAAGGGGAAATGCACAACTTCCATGGGGCAGGAGGACTGGTGAGAGGTGAAGGTGGGATAAACACAAGGTGGGATGGGATCCTGATGCTGGCCCTGTGGATGGAGAAGGCAGGCTCAGCTGCAGTCTCAGTTGGCTTGCTCTGGTTGATGCTGCCCCCTGCTGGTTGCTGCCTCTACTGCCTTCTTTTAATTTCTAAATACATAGACTGTCCTATAGACATCTGGGGCCTGACAGCCCTGCTGCCCAGGGAGTCAGAATTCTGGCGCCTTTACTTGGAAATATCCTTCAACATAGGGATATATGCAACACCCGGGGGAGGGGGCATGATCCACTTGCTTATTGAGAGGTCCTGGAAGGCAACTCTGTAAGCTACAGTCCAACTAAGATTAGGGCAAAATTCTCCTTGCTCTGGAAGCAAGACTGTGGGGAGTGGATCAGGTCACCACCCCCAATGTCTTGTGTATAAGGGTCCGTGGCTCCCCAGACTATGGTCCCTATGTCCTATGTCCCTTCTGCTGAGACAGGAAGGGAGTTGGCCCAGCCAGGGTACTCCTGAGATGGTTTGTCCTGTGCCTTCTGAAAGCCCCAGTGGTCCAGCCTTTACGTCTATCAGTCAGCCTCTGGGGTTGGTCATATCAGCCGTGTGCCCTCCGATGAGTGTGGCAGCAGGTCGCACACACCTGTGAACGTGAGGTCCTTGGAGTGAGAGGCTTGTGGCCCATTGCTCTTCTGTGCGCCTAACAAGGAGGCTTGTCCCTTTGATACTCCAGCCAAGTAGATCTCCAGGGTTTTAAGCAGCCGTCTTGGGCTCTTCTTGGCCAACACTTCCAAGTCTAGGACAGAGAGGATAGGGGAACCAAGGGTTTGTCGGGGCTTTGAATTGCAAAATAGTCAGGGTCTCAAATCTAGCAGCTCTAGGGAGCAACCCCAGCCCAGATGCCATGTCACCAGTCAATCCTAACAAGATCCAGGTCTGCCTTGTCCACTGGTGAGAATGTGCAAAGAGTCTGGGCCCATTGGTGCAGGATGGACGAAGGGTGAACCCAATAGCAGTTTGGCCAGGGCAGAGCGCCTTCTCTCCTGGAGTGCTCACCAGAGTGGGAGACTGAGGAACCAGGTGCAGCACAGGGACCACATGCTCACCTTGTTCAGTGGAATCTCAACTTTGACTAATCAATCCAATAGCTAGACCCAGCTTTGGATTCAAAAATACTATCACCAGAAATATAAGTCCAGAGGGAGGAGAGGGGAGAGCAGGCTACAGAGGCTGCATGGATGGCAACTTTGGGAAGCTGGAGCTTGACAAAGTGTGCATGGGGGTTAGGCGGGAGGGCACCACAGGCAAAACCAGGCTAGCAACCATGCTGGGATCCTTGAACTTGGGGGCACTAGGAGTTCAGGAGCTAGGCCTCCCCAGAAGAAAAAGCATACCTTTGAGGACAAAGCCTGAGTCGGAGATGGTCTTCTGCTGTGTCCTCCAGACATGTGCCAGACGGAGGAAAGTGGCGGCGTAGAAGCTGTTCACCACCGGGATCACCTTCTGCTGCCGATTACACTCCCTGCGGGACAGGGGAAGGGACTTGCTCAGCAAGGGACCAAGGATGGCCTGGTGGCCTCCCGCCCTATTCCCCCAGGGGAGCCATTTCCCTTCACGTCTGAGGTCAGGGTTGGAGGAGAACTGGGCTGGGACAATGAGGCAGGGTGGGAGAGAACCAGGCTCTGGGGGGGGGGGGGCGGGGCTCTCTAATTAGCAGTGTGGGGGCTTACCTGGAAAGACACTCTTCCCTTAAGGCCTGGATTGCGATGCGGGTGATATTCACAGACATCAAACAGAAAGGGAATTGCTGGAATGGAGGGGGTACCGGGTCAGTGGCAACCCCAGCTCCTGCCTTCTGTGTTTCCTGTCATATACGACCTAGCAGTACCCATGGGCAATTTGGCAACAACAGCACAGAGGCAGCAGCCAATATTATTGATGCTTATAGTTAATTTTTACTATAATCTTCCCATCTTACAGATGAGGAAATGAGCCTCAATGACCAGGATTCCAATGGAGGGTAATTCACTCCAAAGCTGTGCATACCCTCTAATCTTCCAGACCCATTAGCCCTCTATAGCCTACACCAGACCCACCCTGGATGCAGCCCAGGCACCATGTCATTCCCTGGGTTACAGATGAATACAGAGGTGTGAGACTCAGTTATCTAACTCTACAGGTTCTTAGCAGGTCCTCTCTCCTTTTCTAGGTTCCTGATTATTTAACAGCTTGTAAACACTTCTTCCAAAATCAGCCAGGGAAGGTACAAGGGTTCACCCTTGACTTACTGATACTCCCCATCTCTCACTAATACAGAGGCCTGAGAACTGGCCCTGCAGGTCAGACTCCAGGTAAGGGGCTGTATGGGGACAAGTAGGGGTGCCTCACAAGCACAGGCCTCAGAATATGGGGTGTGCTGTACAGCTTTATTTTTAGAATAAAAATTGTTCCTCCTTCTTTAATAACAAGAAACCAAGAAATGAAAGGGCTTCTTCCAGGGAATTTGCTGTTGCACATATGCAAGGACACCCACTCAGAGGGACATGGAGATCAATGTGTTCCTTGGTTTAGAACATGTCCGAGTCTATTTATTTCATCTGCTTCCTTATGAGAAGAAAAATCCATCACATTATGATTTAGAACTGTACCTGAGGATGGCAGCAATTCTCCATATTTAGTAATTTGAATTAATTAAACATTAACTAAAATTAAAAATTCATCTCCTTAGTCATTCTAGTCACATTTCAAGAGTTCAACAGCCTCTTGGGCTTAGCAGCTAGTATTGGACAGCGCAGATAGAGAACATTTCCATTACTGTAAAAAGTTCTCTCTGACAGTGCTGGACCAGAAAGAATCTTCTGGCTCTACAAAGATTTTTCAGTCTCCCATGACACTCAGTTCTACAGCATGACCAGACTACCTATTAGTCATGAGTCTCAGCAATCAGAGGTATCTACCCATGAGGCCCTCTGGCTGCTCAGGAGCACCCTGTACCCAGGTCCTAGCCCCACAGCCCTCTCTTCTGGCTTCCCCACGAAGCCCCCACCTGGATATGGTGGTGAGATAGGCGGAAAATCTCCTTGGCCATCAGTAAAGTCTTTGAGTCCATCACCAGGTACAGCAGATGCAGGAGGGCAAGGAAGCCTGCCCCTCTCAGATCTGTGCCTGGATTTGCTCCTGTAACAGAAACCATGAGGAAAAGTAGAGTGATGGTGAGAAATCCCAGATGAAGCTCCCATTCCCATGAGCTTCAAGGATTTTGTTACCTTGGTTACTGGCCAAGTGGGGTGCCTAGATTTCCACCCTTCCCTGGTTGTAACAAGGCATTCCTTAGTGCTACCTCAGTAGTGTCAGAGAAATGAGGAGCTGGGACTTTGCCCCTTCCTGGTGCTAAGGAGCTCTCCACCGACTCTGCAGTATCAGTGGACACTCGATGGCTACAATAATGAGGCACCCCTGCCTCTCCCAGGCAGTGGAGGCCAAGTTCTACCCCCATCTGGCATTAATGTAGTGACATCCCCCTTTACCGCTGGCTTGGTGTCAGAAGAGGCTAAAATAGATGATTTAAAGAAGATCTAGAATGTCATTGCATAATACCAAAAATAATCTGGATACAACTGAAAAACCACTTGTTAGTGGGGAGGGAGCACAATGGACTATGGTGGTGGACTAGGGGTGTTTTGGTGGAGGGTGCAGTGTGGTAACAACACCTGAGCGGGGAGATCCTATACTTCTAAAATAAAACAATGATATAAACCAGTGTTCCTCAATTAACAAAAAAAAAAAATCACTTATTACACCAAGAACTAGGAAAATCTCAATTTAAATGAAAAGAGACAATATGCTCTGATATTTCAGAGCATATCAACGCTGAAATAATAAAGGTACTAGATTTATCGACAAGGATTTTAAAGCAGCTGTCATAGGCAGAATAATACCCCCACGTTCCTCAAAGGTGTCCATATTTTAATCCCCAGAACCTATGGATGTTATGTTTCTTGGTAAAAAAGGGAATTAAGATTGCAGATAAAATTTAGATTGCTGATCAGCAAATAGGGATATTATTCTGGGTTTCGTGGGTGGGCCAAACATAATCAGGAGAGTCCTTAAAGGGAAACAGGGCCTCCCTGGTAATGCAAGGGGTTAAGACTCAACCTATGAAGCTAACCACAGCCACTGTAGCACGAGTTCGATCCCCAGCCAGGGAGCTACCCACATGGCGCATCAGACCTCTCCTGACTTGCTTGCTGCACCCCTCAGCAGTGTGTTTCAGTCTGTCTGCCTATTCTGTTCCCCACTCTGTCTCTGGTGAATCCTCTGACACCCCACACCTTTGGCCTGTACTCCAGTTCTTGTATGCATAAATAAATAAAAAATAAATTAAAAAACCTATTGTAGCTCAAAATGGCTTTGCAAAGTAATTATAAACACACTTAGGAAAAAATGCAAAAAATTAAAAACTTCAGTAGAGGAATATCAGATACACAGAAACAAAAAGAAACTTTAGATCTAAAAAAATGTAACAACTAAAATTAAAAACTAACTGGGTGGGCTCAACAGAATAGAAACAGAGGAAAGAAGCAGTGAATATGAAGATTAAGTAATAGAAATGGTCTACTAATCCTCAACAACAGAGAGAAAAAAACAAAATAAAGCTTTAGAAATCTATGGGCTATAAGAAAAATCCCCCCAAAATGGGTAGAGTGTCTGGGGCCTGTGGAACAATAATAAACATCTAGCATTTATGTCAAGAGAGCCCCACAAGAGAAAAGAAAGTAGAACTGGAAAAGGTGGTTGAAGTAATAAAGCTGAAGATGAGGGAGTTCAAAGGGATTTAAAGGTGCTGATACCGACAGACTTCTAATTATGAGCACAGTTTGTTTTTCAAATTAAGATTTATTTTCCTATTTTGTATGAGTACAGTTTGTATGACACTGAAAAAAGAGTAGCACAATCCCAAGACAGATGAAATCATTTCACTTCACTCAAAAAATAAAACAAAATTTCCTATTATAAGAGGGGAAAAGAGGGGCTTCCCTGGTGGTGCAAGGAATTAAGACACAGCACTATAAAGCTATCCCCAACTACTGCAGCACAAGTTCAATCCCCGGCTGGCCAGGGAGCTGATCCACATGGCGCAGCAGACCTCTCCTGTCTTGCCCGCTGCTCCTCTCAGCAGTGTATTTTGTCAGTCTGCCTGTTCTGTTCCCCACTCTGTCTCTGGTGAATCCTCTCACCAACCCCGCCCCCCGTAAATCCGGCCTGTACCCCAGTTCTTGTGTGCATAAATAATGTTTTTTTTTTTTTTTAAAAAGAGGAAAAAGAAAAAACTAGACTCCAAATCATATCACTCCATTACTGCATCTCACTTACAGCAGATGTTTCACAATGGCCCACAACGCCACAAGTAAGCTTTCCCCCTGTCACACTCTCTCCACTTCAGTTACACCCTGCTGTTTCTCAGAGTAAGCATGCTCTACTTTAGGGGCTTCTGCAATTACTGTATCTTCTTCTGGAAGGAACCTCCAGCCCCTTCCTGTGTTGTGGTGCTGGCATGGCTAGAAGGGGACTGTCTGGACTCTCACTAGAGGCCTGGAATCAGGGCTCAAAGGAAAGATGAGCCATTCCTCTCTCTTACCTTGAAAGCCCAGATCTTCCCAGTGGTCTCCATGGAGGGCACAGTCAAACTTGGAGCCAGTCAGCTTCTTGTAGATGGTCTGGAGGACTCGGCCATGCATTGGGTCTTGGCTATCCAGGCCACCTGCCCCAAAACATACCCACATTCTCTGTACAGTGGCCCCTCTGGGTTCCTCAGAAAATAGATCAACCAAGATAGATGTGTACAGTGTTCAAGGCACCCCATTCTCCCACACTTTTATACCCTTCAGCTCTTGCTCTCCCTCCCACTATGGTACATGCAAGAGACCTGGCTCTGCCTCAGGGTGGGCAAACATGTTCTCTGCCTGGCCGTGCAGCCTGACTCATGGCAACACCATGTACTCACACTGAGCAATGGTCAGGACCAAGTCCCTTTCCTCACAGAGGCCCTGATGGAGCTTGGGAGGCCCGAAGAGGCGGTGCCGGAGGGCAGCAAGCCCGGTCCTTCGAATAGTTGGCTGGATTCTTTTCTGGGAAGGAAGGTGCAGGTAATGAAAGAGCAGTGTTAGATTCACCTCTTTGGTGAACTTACTCTTAGGCTCAGTACAGGGATCATTCTTGGGGAAAGTAGTTTCCCCCAACCAACTGGCTTGTCCTGGGCCCGCTGTGAGAGGGCAGAAACTGTGTAGCATCTGCTGCATTTCTGTAGACAAGCTCTTCTAGCTCCCAGGTTCTTTGTAAGTAGAAAAAGATGTCTCCAATGGGCCTCCCTGGTGGTGCAGGTGGTTAAGTCTCAGCACCATCAAGCCGTCACCAGCCACTGCGAAATGAGTTCAATCACCGGCCAGACAGGTGACCCACATGAGCAGACCTCTCCTCTCTCACTTGCTCCTCCCCTCAGCAGTGTCTCTCAGTAGATCCACCTGTTCTGCTCTCCACTCTGTTTCTGGTGAATCCTTTCACCACCCCACTCCCAACCTCTGGCCTACCCCCCAATTCTTATATGCATAAATAAATAAATATTAAAAAAAAAAAGGAAGATGTCTCCAAGCATAGGCCTTATAAACCAGTTTCTGCATTTGGCCCTTTTGGGCTTTTCCAGAACTAGCTAGAACTGACTAGTGACTGACTCCCAAAGAGGCTAGAGATGGCTAGCTTTGAGGACCACCCCTACCAACACCACCATAAAGTCTGACAAAAGCCAGGGCAGGTTTCCCAGGAGGACAGCTTCTACCATTTGTATGTCTGCCTTGTATCTATGTAAAGGACATACATTATAAAGTACAGTAGCCCCCTCAACTTTGAGGGAGAGAGGCAGTGGGGAATCAGAAGATGAGTGAGCATTTTTTGGAAGCTAGGTACCTCTGAGAAGTGGCTGGAGCCTTCTGTCCACACTACAACCGGCATTCCCTAAGCCAGCTCATGCTTCCTTCTCACTGCTTGGGGCTATTACTAAGCTCTTAGAATATTTTGATTTTGGTAGCTGCTGGCTCTCTGGGCTGTAGAAACCAAAATGACTCCTGTTTTTTAAGCCTCTAGAGTCATGTTTTAGTTTGAATATCCAAAATCACATTCCTCTATATTTACCACTGGTCCCTCAAGATGCCTCAGAAAGCTTGCTAGCTTTTATTCTCCTCAAAATTCCTTCTTTTTCCAACCACACTTATTTTCAAAACTCCCAAATAGCTCTGGTTCCTTGAGAGAATGGAAGATTTCCCCACAGTCATATCAGTCACAATATGATTCCACACCTCTGCCTCCCTAGGAGAGAGGAGCAGGGACAGCCACATGGACCTCTGTATGACAGGGCCACAAAAGGTCTGGCGACACAGTCCCAGAAAGGTCACCAGGGCACTGCATGAAGCATGGGTCCTCGGTCATCCATGATTCTGTGTCCCCAGATTTCTTAGATGAGAGGGGGCCCTCAACTGGAAGCTTCCATCCTGCTTGCCCACTGTCCCATCTAGTGGGACAGAGACTTAGATCCTGGGAAGGTACTTTGCTTGAGATCCCAAACCTCCCTGCTGTCATACCTTGAAGGAGGAGAGGTCCACTGTCTGGAAATGCTGTAGCGCCTCACTGAAGGAGATCAGCTGTCCAGGCTGGTCTGAGCTTGTCTGATTTCCTGTGGCAAAAGAAAAGACACTCAGGATTTGTAATGGAAGTCATCCTGCCAGCAAATGTTTGCTGAGGGCCTTCTGATTGTCACCTCTATGCCAGACACTAGCTTCCAGCTACAAATATCAGATACCTATAGTCCCAACCAATCCTCTTTGAAGGGGCTGCCATAATCTGCCGGGCTGACTCCATTTTAGATCGGGCTGTCCAGAAACTTGCTAGGCTGACTTTTGCAGTGAGAAGGCACAGCTCTGCCCTGCAGGGTATTCCTAAATTCCACTCTTCTGTGACGGGGCAGGTCACTACCTGGAGTTGGTACCCATGTAGGAGCATGGCACTAGTTTAAGGGCCTGTCCTACCTTCTTCTTTGCCCTTCCTCACACTCTGGGCATGAAATCCTCTCTTCATCTTTTGTTACAATCCACAGGGAATTAAATTATCAGTTAGCAATATGGGTGATGGCCGATATAGTCCACTGTGACACCTCTCTAGAAGCTCAAGTAGGGACTAGACTAGATCTGGCTCCCAGTTCTATCCTTCTATTGCTCCATCCAAACCTCTCAAGAGTGAGAGACAATTTTCAGTCTCAGAGTCTTCCGCTCCTATTACCAGGGACTGTACAATGAACAAGCTACTTAACCTTATGTAGGGGCCCTGGTTCCATGCTTCATCCTAATCTCTTTTCCCCACAGAAGCTGCCCCTGGATAAGGTCCACCTGCCTTCTTTCAGGGTTGGGTAGATGCAGCCCTTTCTCCACGGCATACATTCCAATTTCCTTCAGAGATAGAATACAATCATCTTTGGATTTGGAAAGGAGATTTTATTCCAAATCACATAGCTAAAATAAGACCCAGGAATTCTGTCTCCTAATGCCAGAGTAACAGAAACATCAGCCACACACGTGGATGGTGCCTTTACACAGCTGGGTGGATGGCGAGAGCTCCATTCCTGCCGTTACCTGTCTCTGGCAGGATATTGTCCACGGCCTCCCATTCTTCTTGGGCTTTGAGCACCTCTGTACTTACAACTGCAACAGTGAGAAAAGGAGATTCTTTGAGATGTAGGTACATCTGGATCTCTGCTGCAGCCCCCAGCCTTGTCTGCCTACCTTGGGTCTTGTCGCCCTCCAACACCCTCTTCACACAGCTGCCAAGGTGACTTTTTTCTTTTTTTTTTTTTTTTTTTAAGATTTATTTATTTATACAAGCACTGGGTACAGTCAGAAGTGCGGGAGGATGAGAGAATTCACCAGAGCCAGAGCGGGGAACAGAACAGGCAGACTGACGAAATACACGGCTGAGGGGAGCAGCAGGAGAGGTCTGCGCACCATGTGGGACCCTCGCCGGCGGCCAGGGATCGAACTGGCACTGCAGAGGCTGCGGGCAGCTTCGTAGCCCAGCGCTCAACCACGGAGCCACCAGGGTAGGCCCCCAAAGTGACTTTTCAAAAGCAGATCTCATGTCATCCCCCTGCTCAAAACCCTCCAGGGATTTTCCACAACTCTCAAGACAGAGCCCAGACTCTGCAGCACAGCATCTAAGGGCCTCCACAATCTGGGTCCTGCTTCCCTCCCTAGCTCTGCCCTGGGGCATACAGGACAGCTTAAGGTTCTCCTACCTCCAGACCTTCACCAGCTTTGCACAGATAGCACCCCTGGTGCCAGCACCGGGTGCTCTCACCTTCACTTCCAACCCCTCTGCTGCAGGTGCTTCTCGCCCTTCAGTTAACCCTCACCTGGACGCCTCCTCTGAGCTCATTAGTCCAGATTGGGAGCCCCTCCCTCCCAATGCTTAGGACAGCGCCTTAACTTCCTTTCCCACTGCATAGCAGTTAACAGGGCAGGTTCTCTGGAACCTAGTGCAGCACATGTTTGATGTGCTCAACAAATGTTTACTGCGTAAACAAAAGCACTCACACAAAAGGAAGGTGAAGATGTAGGGAAAAAAAAAAAAAAAAGCAACCAGGTAGTTTCTCTAGCAACACCACATAGCCCTCCTCTCCAAACCACAACCGCCCCTTTTTAGTTCAAACTGCCAGAGGCATATCCTGTCACTGGCTTTTCTGATTCACTACAGAGAAAGAATATCAACAAATTATGAGAAGGATAGAGAGACTTCAGTTTAATGCCAAAACTCGTGACTTCTCAAGCCTCAAAGGAAAAGTATTTTAGGACAGTTGCACTTTGCCTTGCAATCTTGGCTGAGGACATCACATGACAACAAATTGCTTTGAAAGCATACTTGCAAATTCGATGAAATGCCACCCGAAAAACTCATAATACTATGGCTAAAAATGAAGAGAAAGCTGCTGGGAAGCAGTAGAGAACAGTTACTGAAAGCACACTCCAGAAGTTAACTGCTTGTGAACCTCTCATCTCCGCCATTTCCTAGCTGTGGTTTTTTTTGGCAATTATTAACCATCTCTAATCACCATGGCACTGTAATGAACTTGGTGTAATATTTCATCCTCTTACAGGGCTACAGTGCTCAGAGGTCAGTACTCAATATATGTTGGCTGGACCCCTGTTACTGATACAGGTTTGCACTGGGGTCCAGCAGGGCAGTGGGCAGCTTTTTTTTAGCAGGTGAGTCGGATCTAAGGTCCTAAAGTTTGGACCTTTAGGAAATTCAATCTCACAAGATCGAAACTCTGGGTGGATAGCAAACACTACACATCAGGGCTTCCAGGATAGATAATTTCAACAGAATACAGAACCCTGACCTTAGAAGAAAATAAAACTTAATTCTAGCATGTTGGACCTTTGGGAGATGAAAAGGAGGGCAGAGCGGCTGAGCGAGGAGTGGAATACACCAGTGAATGCTCATTATGATGCTCAAGAGGAACTCCTCTGCTTTCACCCTCCCACCTACACCAGCTTCACTGATTGGTCACCCTTTAGATGCTCGTTACTAGCCTCTGACTCCGTATTTCTTTTTTTTTTTTTTAAAGATTTATTTATGCATGCAAGAACTGGGGTACAGGCCAGAGGTGTAGGGGGTGAGAAGATTCACCAGAGACAGATGGGGAACAGAACAGGCAGATTGACCGAAATACACTGCTGAGGGGAGCAGCAAGTGAGTCAGGAGAGGTCTGCAGCGCCATGTGGGTAGCTCGCTGGCTGGGGATTGAACTCGTGCTGCAGTGGCTGTGGATAGCTTCATAGGTTGCATCTTAACCCCTTGCACCACCAGGGAGGCCCCCCTGGCTCCATATTTCATCCTCACTGTAGGGTAAGGAAAAATGTCAGGCTTTTCTGCCCTCCCGCCAGCAGGATGATGGATCCTTGCGGTCCTGAATGCATGCCTGATGGCGGGCACCTGGAGTAGGGTGTGGGCATAGGTAGATGGGATTCACCTGGACTGAGACTGGGCTTTTAAGGGCTGCGTCACAGGGATGCCAGAAGAAGCCGAGGAAAAGCTGAAAGAGAAGCTGAGAGAGAAGCAAGAGCAGCAGAAGCTGAGAGAAGGCCGGAGAACCCAGAGTGAGGACCTGCTGGGGGCTGCGAGGTCTGCCAGCCTACCGGTCCCCCAGCACCCCTGCTGCCATGTACCTGCTAAATCCCAATAAAAGCCTGCAAAAAGTCACTGAGGACTCTGACTCTTCCTTTACCCGGTCTGCATGGGATCAAAGAAAACCTGCTCAGTGGTCATTCCTGCCTTTACACTCACCTACAAGCAACTTGGTGAGAGACTATGAACCAGGAGATTAACCTCACCAGCTGGGGTAGAGGCACTTGCTGTGACAGCAGGGTAGTCAACAGAGAAGGCCTCAGCAACTAGCAACTGCAAAGTGGTGCCTAAAAACTGGAGACAAACATCCAAACCATATGGAGTGACTTTCCTTCCTTTTGGAACCAGACAGACTCTTCCAACTCCTGAAGATAATCCTGACATAGCTACTAATTTACTCCTGATGAACAGAAGAAATTGCAGACAAAACACAAATCTTTGGGGTAATAAATACAGCTCATATTAGTACCGTTCTTTATTTTTTCCTTTTTTTAACTGCCTCCTTTATTTAGGCTCTCCTCCATTAATGTTATATAACACTGCTGATTTATTTAGTCAGCCTATTAATTAAAATCAGCTGAAAGTATCTGAAAACAATTGACATTGTTTAGTATGACGAAAAATGTCTGGCAAATAAATGTCAGTTGTGTTGAAGTATAAAATATTTTGGCATTTAAGGCAAAATTGCAAAGAAATGTTGAATTTGTCATCACACAGTAAAGACAAACTTCCATTAAAAGAAACTGCAGGGGGCCTCCCTGGTGGCACAAGGGGTTAAGCGTCAGCACAATGAAGCTATCAGCAGCCACTGCAACAGGAGTTCGATCCCCGGCCAGGGAGGCAACCCACATGGTGCAGACCTCTCCTGACTCACCCGCTGCTTCCCTCAGCAGTGTATTTCAGTCAGTCTGTCTGTTCTGCTCTCCACTCTGTTTCTGGTGAATCCTCTCACCACTACCCCTGTATCTCTGGCCTGCACCCCAGCACTTGTATGCATAAATAAATAAATCTTAAAAAAAAAAGGAACTTCATAGGCTTCCAAGTAATTTTTCTACATTAGAGTATTTTTTTAACAAGCCCCATATTTTGGAGATTACCTTTTTAGTGTGCAGAATTTAAAGAGCAATACATTCCAAAGAGCACTCACTGTGACTCACATTCAGAGTGCTAAGCATTTACATTATCTCATTTAATTCTTATAAAATGATAAAGTTACTCTCATACAGATTCTAATACAATCCCTGTTTTATAGATGAGGAGAGTGAGGTTAGAAAGATTAAGTAACTTGTTCAAGGTCATGTATGTTGGGAGAGTCCTGAAGGGAACCTTACCGCCTGGCTGCCATCCATTAGCTTTGGTTGTAAGGGCCTGGAGGACACCATGGTTCTTCAACTCTGAGATCTGTAAGGGCAGTTGACCTTTAGTGACAGGGAGGAATCCACATCCCTCCACCCACAAAAACATGACAAACTGTTCTGCAAGTCCCACCTGCCATAATGAATGTCCTTGAAACTGAAAGCCAAAAGGATCTAGTCTTCCCTGTTGGTTGATTAAAGCCAGTCTAAAATCACTTGGAAAACAACTGTGATGTATACTTTGGGGACACGGGGACAAGTGTATGCCCTCCTTGAATAGTAAGCAAAACATATGACTCAATTGAGACTGTGGCACAGTGTGTATATATATATATGTATGTGTGTGTATATATATATTCCCCCATTCATTATAACAACTATCTTATTAAACAAAGGTTGTTTTGCATGTTTGTCCCTCGTGCTGAGGCAGGGTGGACACTGGCCAGGGTCCCCAATGCGTGGCACCACACAGCAGCCTGCAATAAGCTTGCAATGCAGGAGGAACTGGGGTGTGGGCAGTACGTACAGGAATTCCTCTGAAAGCCAGAAGAGCACTGTTGTCCTTGTCATATGGTGGAGAGCAAGTGGCAGACATATTTTCAGCCTGTAAGACAAATCAGAGTCAACCTCCCAGGTGCATATCAGCCTCCCAGAGGCAATGACAGCTTAAATGTCACAACTTTTCTAATTAACCAAAAAAAGATGAACCAGAGAAGTGTCAACTGCAAGAAATACTGTAAAGGGAAACTTCTGTTTAATCTGATCTTAATAAATACTGTAAAGATTTAATGTTCTGGCCTTCCTTGGTGCACAAGGGGTTAAGTATCAGCACTATGAAGCTATCTGCAGCCACTGAAGCGCAAATTCGATTCCTGGCCAGGGAACTAACCCACATGGCTCAGCAGATCTCTCCTGTCTCACTTATTGCTCCCCTCAGCAGTGTATTTCAATAGATCACCTGTTCTGTTCCCCGCTCTGTCTCTGGTGAATCCTCTCACCCCCTACATCTCTATCCTACACCCCAGCTCTTGTATGCATAAATAAATAAAAATAAATCTTTGAAAATCAACTAATGTAGGTATCTATGTTAAGGCTCTGGAATTCTAGATTATCCTTTTGTTCTAATTCCTCCTACATATTTTTGCCAAATAATACTCCTTAAACACAGCTGAATGATTTCTCCATACCTGAGACATAGAATGGATGCCTAAACACACCACAGCTGCAAACATCTCCATAACTAACCTCTCAAGGCCAAGCATTATTATTTCCCACTTCAATCAAATAAACACACTTGCTCCTGTTTCTCTTCTCTCTCTTTTTTTAAAAGATTTATTAATTTATGCATACAAGAGCTGGGGTACAGGCCAGAAGTGTGGGGGGTGAGAGGATTCACCAGAGGCAGAGTGGGGAGCAGAATAGGCAGAGTGACCGAAGTACACTGCTGAGGGGAGCAGCAGGCGAGACAGGAGGTCTGCTGCACTGTGTGGCTTGTTCCCTGTCTGGCTGGGAATCAAACTTGTGCTGCAGTGGCTGCGGATTGCTTCATAGGTTGCGTCTTAACCTTTGCGCCACCAGGGAGGCCCCTGTTTCTCTTCTTATCTCCATCCCTTGGTTCATGTGGCTTTCCTCCAGAGGTCACCCTCACTCTTCCCCCTTCTCTATGTCTTCTGGTCCCTTCAAAATAAGTTCCATCTCCTCAAAGTGGCTACCTTACAATGCGGGGCTGCATGGCCCTCCCTTGTGGCCTAGGAGTTAAGTCTCAATGCTATTACTGCTACAGCCTGAGTTCGATTCCCGGCCAGGGAGCTAACCCACATGGCACAGCAGACCTCTCCTATCTGGCCCGCTGCTCCCCTTAGCAGTGCATTTCAGTAAATCTACCTGTTCTGGCCCCCATTGTCTCTGGTGAATCCTTTCACACCCTCACACCTCCTCTAGCCTACACCCCAGTTCTTCTATGGAAAAAACAACAACAAAAAAGCAATGCAGGGCTGCACTAGTCTCTCACTTACTTCTCCAAGCTCCAAAGCCCATGTGGATGTAAAACAAGTTTCTCTGCAAGAGGTCTCTCTCCAATCAGGCTCTGCTGCTTTGAGCATAAGACCTTATATTTCCTACCACCATCAGCATAGTACTAGGCACAAAATGTGTCCCTGTCAGTCAAAAATCATCATGCTGTATGATCATCTCAATGATGGAGGGAAAGCATTTTACAAGGCTCTGGAACATGCATTTATGAAAACAACTCTCAATTAAATGGGGATAGAAGGATTATAGCTCAACATAATAAAGCTATATATGACAAACCCACAGCTAACATCATTCAGTAGAAAACGGAAAGCTTTGCCTCTAAGATCAAGTAAAGACAAGGATGTCCACTCTCACCACTACTACCTAATATAGTAGTAGAAGTCCTATCTAGAGCAATTAGGCAAGAGAAAGGAATAAAAAGAATCCATTTTCAGAGGATATGATATTTGCAGAGGGTATGATAATACACAGAAAACCATAAAGACTCCACTAAACTATTAGAAACAATAAATCAGTATAGTAAAGTGCCAGGCTACAGAATTTATATACAGAAGTCTGTTATATCCCTCCTTTATCAAGGAGCTTAGTTTCTTTGATATGATTAGAAATGGGACTGCTTTCTTGATTTTTTTCTTCAAGTTCATTCTTTGCACATAGGGATACATCACACAAAAAGATGAAACTAGCCCTATCTCATACCATAAACCTATAGAGTGATGTATCTTAATTATTTAGCAATAAAACTAGAAAACAAAAGATATGTTCTCCAAAATATCTGATGATTGATGTTCTGAACAACTCCCTGCAGGGACTGTGTACGCAGGACTCACTTCATCCTTCCTTTCCTCTGCAATTCGGTCCCTCCAGGTGTTCAAAGACTTCCCTCTGGAAGAACAGTTCACCTATCTTAGTACAGTGAAGAAAACCTTTCTGGACTTCCAAAGCAAAACTTCGCCCCATTTCTGGCCACTGATTGTGACAGGCTCCATGTAAGACTATTTCTGGGCAAGGTAGGCAGAAAGTAAGGTAGGATAGGCTGCCAGGTTGACACAAATTCATGACACTGAACCAAGAGTCCTGAGGATAATCAAGCCAGCGCAGGTATTGGACAAAGAAAGGGCCAGTGACGTAAACAATCCAAATTAATGAATTACAGGTTTCTCATTGAAATTCCCCTCCCATCCAAGCAAATCCAGAATAAAATCCCATGACACACTTAGAAAATAAGCTACTAGGAAAGCAACTGACCCAAAGGTGAACAGAAGCTTCTAACAACAAAAACAACTACAATGAGGGCTTTCCAAACATTTCTAAAGCTCCACATTCTCTTGAAAAATTGTCTTATTATTACTGTTAACATATATCTCAAACCAACACATTCTTTCCCAAATAGAAGTGCTTACTTACCTGTCCATCGCTTAATTCTTTCTCCTTATGGAAAGAGCAAGATTCTTCATTCATGACTCAAAATCATTTGTTCAAGTGAGCTTTGTTCTGGGGCTGTTTTGAATAACATCTGAGATCAGGAGCTAAGGGAAGAAGCAGAGCTCTACCTCTGCCTTCCTTCTTGGCAGTTATTCAGACTAAAAGCAAGAAAACAGTCCCTTTGTGCCATCACCAGGGTAAAGAAGGTTTCTATGAGTATTGAAAGAAGTCCCTGAGGTCTCTGAAGCCTCAGCCCTGTTTAAAAAAAAAAAAAATTAAAAGAAAGCTGGTTTCATCATTCAGTTCTGCCTTTGTTGAAAAAAACTGACTAAAAATCTTTAGGCATGGGGTCTCCCCGTTGGCACAGCGGTTGAGCGCTAGGTTGCGAAGCTGCCTGCAGCCTCTGCAGCGCCGGTTCTATCCCTGGCTGTTCCCCGGCCACCAGAGGAGGGTCCCACATGGCGCGCAGACCTCTCCTGCCGCCTGCTGCTCCCCTCAGCAGTGTACTTCGGTCCTTCTCCCTGCTCTGCTCCCCGCTCTGACTCTGGTGAAGTCTCTCACCCTCCCGCTTCTGACTGTACCCAGTGCTTGTATAAATAAATAAATAAATCTTTAAAAAAAAATCTTTAGGCAGTTATAACATCATTCTGGCTAGATAAACTAGCTAAATGCCTACCTCTTACTACCCATGTTACTGGATGGAAAGAAGGGGACCCCGCAGGAGTCCAGAGCTGGAGTCTCAATGTCTAGAGGACATCAGCACAGGGATGAGGTTAATAGGTGGCACCTAGGTGGCTGATTTTGGCTGACCAGTTCAGTTTTGTTAAATGCAACACAATGCCTTGTCCTCCTCAATTATCGCTAATATTGTACATGTGGCAGTTGTCTCAAATGTTTGGCTAACTCTAAGACTTTTTTTTTTTTTTAAGATTTATTTATTTATGTGAACAAGAGCTGGGGTGTAGGCCAGAGGTGTGGGGGTGAGAGGATTCACCCCAGAGTGGGGAACAGAACAGGCAGACTGACTGAAATACACTGCTGAGGGGAGCAGCGGGCAAGACAGGAGAGGTCTGCTGAGCCATGTGGGTAGCTCCCTGGCTGGGGATCGAACTTGTGCTGCAGTGGCTGCAGATAGCTTCATAGTGCTACGACTTAACCCTTTGGGCCACCAGGGAGGCCCTAACTCTAAGTCTTTCATCTCAGGAATCCAACTGAGGAAAAGTACAACTAGACATTACCCTACCATGGAGGACCTGGACAGCACAGATGCCTGTCATAACAACAATCTGGATCATAAGTGGGCAAATGGCCCCCACACAACTACAGTCATACATCACTTAGTTTTCTTAAGGAAACTGAGGAAGGAGGGTGGCCTCTCCATGAAGTGAGCCTTCCATTATGGGAATATGATCTGGATTCCCTAAGAACTGGCCTCCGGTAACAAAATAGTCTTTGTCAGATGTCATGATCCCTCACTCCAAGAGCAGGAACACCTCCTTCTAGCTCACTGTAATTTACAGGAGAGGGCAGGGACCCTCAATCACGGCACCTAAGAAACTATTTCATTCTCTCACTTCTTTTCAACATCTCCCTTCTTTTCTCTCCCTCCTCATAGAACTCCATAACAGCATACAACAACATATACATGGGCCAACTTTGGGAAGGTGACAGGCAGACTAACAGCAGAAAGGTTCTTGTATTACTGTGTGTGAAGTGAATCAAGCAGCACAGAAGAGTGAGGGCTTCATGCACCTGTGAGTGTCTCAGTTCTGGCTGGAGAAGCTGGGTCTTCAATAGGGGCGGTTACTCTCTGTATCAGAGAAAGAAAAGAGCAAAAACAGTCGAACAAGCAAGTACTAGAAGTTACGAAGTCACTTCTACCAATTCCTTAGCGTTGCACTTGGAAATGTCTTTCATGTAAAGATGGATCCTTTTCAAACCAAGCATCTATGGTACACCCATTTTAGTCAAGGAGTTACATAAGGGATATGATTTTCCAAGTGCTTGCTGAAGCTTCAACTCGCTGAATAGGTATTTAATCTAGAAACTCGGTTCATAGCTCAACTACAAAAGCACACAAAGGTAGGACAGTCCGTTGACATTTTCCTCAGGCTTCTCGCTGGGCGACTCCCCTTCCTCTCCCAGCCCCGATAGAGGGGATGCCTGGGGGCTCAGTCAAAAAGAGGGGGTGCTACCAGTCCCCCGCTGCAGACAACGCCCCGGGTGGAGGGAGAGTTTAGGGGGGCACCGCGGCCAGAACCGCTGGCCACTGGGCGGGCTCAGGGCCAGGCGCTGGCCGGCTGTGGGGCGCAGCGGTCTAATCCACCAACATGCCCAGCTCCACGGGGGCTGTGTGGGGGTTCCGGCCCGAAACGTCCTCACGCTCGGTGTGTGAAAACCACGAAAGCAACTCGCCTCCGGCCATTCGGCGACTCGACCGCAGAGCGCGGACCAGGACCCACGTCTCCCGTCTCCCAGTCGGGATTCTCTCCCAACCCCGCAAGTCTCAGCCTCGCCTCGCCCCAGGGCGATCATTTCCACTCCACATCCGCGTCCCTCTGAACCCCGGGGCTGGCCGGACTGGTCCCCGGAGTTCCGCGACCGCGGTCAAGGAGCGCGGGCCGGCCTCCCCCGCGCATGCGCACGGCGCGCCCCGCGCGGCCGCCCGGCCGGGAGTTACCCCGCCCCCCTCCCCCCACCTCCCGGCAGGCAGAGTTCGCGCTGCAGAAGTACGAGGAGCCGGGAGGGTCAATCTGCGCCGGCGTCTAGGCTGCTGGCCAAAAAGCTCTGGCTAATCAGGAGTCAAAGCTGCCTCCCCTTCGCGCATGGGAAGGACAAACTAACTAACATTGCAGAGTTACCGTCCCAGAGCTGGGCGCCGTCGCCGTGCACCCGCTCCCCGGGCCCGCCGCCGGCGCGATGTGCCTTCCGCTGCTGCTGGGGCTGCTGCTGAGCGTGCTGCTCCTGGCGACCCTTTGCAAAGTTTACCTAGGACTCTTTGCAGAGAGCTCCCCCAACCCCTTCTCCGAGGATGTCAAGCGGCCGCCCGCGCCCCTGGTGACCGATAAGGAGGCCAGGAAGAAAATTCTCAAACAAGGTCAGCTGGAGGGACCTTGGGAGTGCGAGGCTGAGATTGGGCATCCTTGTGGGTTTGTGTGCCCATTCCAGGAGGGGGAGCCGCTGCCGGGCCCCGGCTAGTTTCCCCGTTTGTAAAGTGCAGGGCGGGCTTCCTTGCACGTGAAGATGCCCACTTGATGTCCAACACCGGTGAGAACATTCACCTGGGCAGGTGCTAGGAAGAGTGAGCCCGTCCTTAGCATCGTCCTTGGAGTGCGGAGGTCTGGATATAGCCAAGTCCCACCAGCCCCAGCGGTTGAATGAGGCCTCGCACCCCTGGAGAAGTAAGAGATGTTTCCCCCATTTGTTTCTAGGATCTTAACTTTTCCATTTGCCCTCCCACGTGGGCTCAGGGACATGGGAACGCTGCACAGAGGGGCATTATGCCCATCAAGTGATTGATGTGGTTGACCCTGGTTGTAAAACTGATTTAACAGGGTGTCTCAGACCCAGAATCCGGTCTTCCATCAAACGGATTACTTCTGCTGTTATCTTTAAAGTTTATTTTCGTCTTCCTTCTGAGCTTTAAGGAAAGTTCTACTGCTTAAAAAAAAAAAAAAAAAAGCCCTTCTTTAATCTTCAGGGTTCCTCAGGTAATTTTATACTTCTGTGTGAAAAGTCTTTGCTATGCAGTGGAAGACCAGTACTTGGGAGATCAGAGTTTTAGTTTGAACTCTATCACTATTTTACTGGAAGCCATTAACAAGTCATTTCACCTATCTGAGGTTATCTGAAAATGAGATGACTAGTTTAACTTTTCAAACCGGTTGTGATCTATTAATGGGTCATGAAATCAGTGCAGTGGATTGTAACTAGCATTTTAAGATGCAGTAAATAGAACATAGCAGGGGTCTCCATTGTGGCACAGGGGTTAAAGACAGCACTATCAAGCTATTGCCAGCCACTGCAGCACAAGTTCAAGCCCTGGCCAGGGAGCAACCCACATTATGCAGCAGACCCCTCCTGTATCGCCCGCTGCTTCCCTCAGCAGTGTATTTCAGTAGATCCAGCTGTTCTCTTCCCCACTCTGTCTCTGGTGAATCCTCTCACCCCCCACACCTCTGGCTTATACCCCATAAATAAATAAATAAATGCATAAATAATGCATAAATAAATAAATCTTTTAAAAATTGTAAAATACATAAACATTTAAAAAATAGAACATAGCAGACTGTGTCAGGCATAGTTCTGATAGGTATTGAATAGTGAAACTTCTGTTTCAGGCATCTATACTACATACTTACATATGTTCTGGCTTATGATATAAAATGCTCTTTCTAAAAATGGTTGAAAAGTTAAAATTTTCCAAGTCCCCTTTGCAGCCTGAAAAACTCAAATCTTTGTTTTTTCTGGAGTGCCCTTTAAAGGATGAATCTTGTATTGGAAGTGCCAATATGGCACCACGTGCTGTCCAGTTATATCATGTTTAGGTGCTGCCTCCTTAGCCCTGCCTCCAAACTTCCCCTCTGCAAGAACAGGGCTGTGATTTCTCAGAGCAGCAGCCTCTGTCCTGCCCAAGCTTCTGCATCAGGATCTTTTTTTTTTTTTTAACATGTCCATTCCCACACAAAATTAACTTTTATTGTGTGATAACATGGAAGATCTACTTTCTGAACAGCTTTTAATTTCCACATATAAGTAAAAACATACAAAAGCTTGCATTTTTATAATACTTCACTGTTTTAAAAAGATAGCATTTATATTTTTTTATTTTCATATCAGCACTTGTATTTGTTTTTTAATATATTTTATTTTATATAATTTTTACATCATTTTTCATTCTTGCACAATGTTTGTGTTTTCATTTTGGTTATATTCCCCATACGGTTCCACCCCTCTTATTTTGACCCTAATCCCTTCTCTCTTCCACCCCTACCCCCGTGTGTCTCTGGTTTATACCACCAGGCTGTTCCCCTGCTGCCTGCAAGGGCTGTTTTTTCTGACAATAGCTTATGGATGGAAAGTCCCTGAGCCAGCGACCTGCCCCATGGCACTTTCCTCCCTTCCCCAACTCCTGTTTTCTCCCTTCCCTAACTGTGTATTTGCACTTAGATTTCTCAGTTTGTATTATTGTCAAGCTTCTGTTTTTGTTCCTCTAGTAGTTTACTGATTTCTACTTTCTTTGAAAATGGGAAAATCCCCAGGTGCGTAGTGTCTTTGGTTAAATCAGTTCAGATCAAACTAAATCTCTGTTTAATCTGCCTGGCTGGTCCTGAATATCTCCCAGGCTAAATGTTTGCAATATTTTTGTTAGCAGCTCTGAACCAGTCTGCTCTAGAGTTTTCTTGCATTATAGAAACTAGGAAAGTCTTCCTTCCTTTTTTGCTGCCCTTGCTTGAGAAGCCCAGCTCTATTCCCTCTGTTGCAGCTTTTTCAGCCAGCCGGGTGCCAGAGAGGCTGGATGCAGTGGTGATTGGCAGTGGTTTTGGGGGCCTGGCAGCAGCAGCAATCCTAGCCAAAGCTGGCAAGAGAGTTCTGGTGCTAGAGCAACATACCAAGGCAGGAGGCTGTTGTCATACCTTTGGACAGGATGGCCTTGAATTTGACACAGGTAAGGTTTATGTGAAAAAGGGACTGGAGGACCTCTCTGGTGGTGCAAGGGGTTAAGTCTCAGCATTATGAAGCTATCCGCAGTCACTGCAGCTAGAGTTTGACCCCCAGCCAGATTGCTGACCCACATGGTGCAGCAGACTTCTGTCTCATCTGCTATTCCCCTCAGCAGTGTATTTCAGTAGATCTGCCTGTTCTGTTCCCCAATCTGTCTCTGGTGAATCCGCTCACCTTCCCCCCACAGCTCCTCTGATCTGCACCCCAGCTCTTGTATGCATAAATAAATACATCTTTTAAAAAGAAAGAAAGAAAGGGACTGGAGCAGCCATTGTGGGCTGCTACTGATCATTCTGTTGTTTGGGAAGCTTCATCTTCTCTCTCAGTACCACTTCCTTTGTCTGACAGCCACACCTGTCAGCTAACCTGGCAGGGATTTAGTGGTGTCTGCTGCCAAACCTCCCTACAGCAAGGGTGATTATCTCCCTTCAGGTGTAGACTTGGCCATGTAGGAACACCTTCCACCTTGCTTCCTTGTCCACCTTTTCAGGGGTCAACCCCCATCCCTATGATGCCTTGTTTTTCTGTTTCCTGACAGGAATCCATTATATTGGGAGCATGGATGAGGGCAGCATTAGTCGTTTTATCTTGGACCAGATCACTGAGGGGCAGTTGGACTGGGCTGCCTTGTCTTCTCCCTTTGACATCATGGTTCTAGAAGGGCCGAGTGGCCGGAAGGAGTTCCCCATGTACAAAGGAAAGAAAGCCTACATTCAAGGCCTCAAGGAGAAATTTCCCCAAGAAGCAGATGCCATTGACAAGTACATAAAGTTGGTTGAGGTAACATGGACATCCTGAGGTGCCCCTGTTTATGACCAACAAGGCTGACCTTCTTCATTTTGGAATGACTGGTGGGAGGCAGAAAGGGAGAAACAACTGGTCAGTCCTGTACTCAGGCCCCACCAGAGCTGACCTGTGTGCCCAGCTGGCTCTTGTCTCTGGAGCCTGGGCTCAGCTGCTGCCATGCTCACTCCAGCCTCCAGGGAATACCCTTCTCTCCTCCCAGAGTAGGCTGCCTTCCATGTGGTCAGATCACTCTCATTTTTTTTCTTCATTTGAGATCACATTGGGATTTTTCAAAAGGAATTTGGGCAGAAAAGCAAAAAAAGCACTCATCTGATTACAGAATGGGAAAGACTCAGTGGACAGATTTTTAAATATCTTAACTCAGCAAAGTTCAGCCATCAGTCAGTGTAACTGGGTCCTGGGCTTGCAAGCTGTTGGAATGGTGATTCTGCACAGTGGTGCTTGAGACGAGACCTGTTCTCCCCTGCTTATTTTCTCCCCCAGGTGGTGTCCAGAGGAACCTTCCATTGCATCTTGTTGAAGATGCTCCCGTTGTTTCTGGCTCAGCTTCTCAACAAGTTCGGCCTGCTCACCCGCTTCTCTCCCTTCCTTCGAGCATCCACTCAGAGCGTGGCTGAGGTCCTACACCAGCTGCCTGCCTCCCCAGAGCTGCAGGCGGTGCTCAGCTACATCTTCCCCACTTATGGTGGGTACTGGCTGCTGGAGGACGAGGTGCTGCCGCCCTCCTGACTCTGTCTCTTTCTGAGCCCTCTTGGCTGACTGAAATGGAGCAGTATAAACCCCAGGCCCTCTGAAGCTTATGGATGAGAAGTCTGTCTACCCAGCTGGATTCCCTGGTAGAAATTCCCTTGGCCTTTGCCCTGGATGATTCCTCATTTAAACCAACACTGTCCTCCATGCTATTGGCAGCATGGCTGCTAGAAGGGAGGACATTCTCCCTGGTCCCGACTTCTGTAAGATACCCTATGTTTGAATGGAACAGGCCCTCTGGCTGGCCTGAGTCCTGGGGATCAAATGGGTCCTGAGAGAGGCAGATTCAGGCTGCTTGTTACCTGACAGGGGCCAGGTTACTTTCTGAATAGGGTCGCTCTGCCTCATCATCCTCTTCTTCCTCCTGTAGGTGTCACCCCCAGCCACAGTTCCTTTTCCATGCATGCTCTGCTGGTTGACCACTATCTGAAAGGGGCCTTTTACCCCCGAGGTGGGTCCAGTGAAATCGCCTTCCACACCATCCCGGTGATTCAGCGGGCTGGCGGCGCTGTCCTGACGAGGGCCACTGTGCAGAGTGTGTTGCTGGACTCAGCTGGAAAAGCCTGTGGTGAGAGTCGGGCATCGTGCGTCACAGTCCCTGGGCTTCGGTGGGGGAGCCCTGGGTGCAGAGATAAGAAAACACTGAGGGCAGAAGGTATAGACAAACCAACCTCCTCATAGGTGCTCGTTCAAGGCTAGACTCTGCCCCAGGGCAGGAGCCTGGGGGTAGCCATCAGTCTGGAGGCAAAAAGGAAGCAGGAAGTATAAAGGATTGCTTGGTCTCCAAAGGACAGCATTTAATCATTTATTCAATAGATTAAAATATTCATACAGTAATCTGTGATCTTGTGTGTAGGGCTGTGTCCTTGTCATCGTTATGTTTATAGATCTTAGCAAGTTATAAAGACTAAATGTTTAGTCACTAAGTGACTGGTGAGATGAATGAGTAACCTGGGCACACCATGAGGAAGTGTGCAGGCAGGCAAGATGCCCTCCCCTCTGCATGCCAGGAGCTCCTTGCCTGGCTCAGGTTTTTTGCTGTTACCTTTTTTTTTTTTTTTAAGATTTATTTATTTATACAAGCACTGGGTACAGTCAGAAGCGCGGGAGGGTGAGAGAATTCACCAGAGCCAGAGCGGGGAGCAGAACAGACAGAAGGACCAAAGTACACTGCTGAGGGGAGCAGCGGGCGGCAGGAGAGGTCTGCGCGCCATGTGGGACCCTCCTCTGGTGGCTGGGGAGCAGCCAGGGATCGAACCAGCGCCGCAGAGGCCGCGGGCAGCCTCGCAACCCAGCGCTCAACCGCTGCGCCACCGGGGAGGCCCCCCCTTGGAGGGTTTTAAAGAGAGTGTTTTGAACTCTGACAGCAGTAAAGCTGGACCTGGATTCCAATGGGAATCCAAGCTCTTGGCTTTGGGCTTCTTGTGGAGGCTGTTGAGTTTGGCTAAAGAAAAGATCTCCCACATGGGGCGGGGAGGAAAAAGGAAGGTGAACACAGAGTGTGTCCTGTGGAGCACCTCAGGGAGTTTCGCGCTTCAGTTTTGCCTGGGAGCTTCCTCCCTGGCCCTGGCCGACTGGGTGCCCGGGTCTGAGAAAATGAAGCATAGGCTTAGAGAGATGTGTTAGGACCTGGGCTTTTCTCTTCCTCCTGGAGTGCGCAGGCCCTCAGTCAAGCTCTTATGCCTGCAGGGGTCAGTGTGAAGAAGGGTCAGGAGCTGGTGAACATCTACTGCCCCATCGTGATCTCCGACGCCGGACTGTTCAATACCTATGAGCGCTTGTTGCCAGAGAGTGCCCACTCTCTGCCAGGTAAAGACTGGGCTGCCTGCCCTCTTTCAACTTCCCCAACTTGGGCTCTCTACAGCCAGCGTGCTCAGCCTGCATGAGGCTTTCCCTTTGTCCTTCAGCAGAAAAGGGGAGAACATTGGTGTCACATCAGTTTCCATTAAGGCCTGTGTTTGGCGGGTGGGAGACAACTTCCTTGGGTCTCGTCATCCCCAAAGACCCTTCCATCATTACTTCTTTCATTCTTGGAGTATTTCCCCCTTGTGACTTCACCACTTTTCCCTCCTCTCTTTTTAAGTTTCTATTCCTAGTTGCCCATTTTCAGTTGCCCTCGATCAGAGATCATCTTTCTAATAGTTAATGATGGAGGGCAGAATCCTTCAGGGACGTTTCCTTTATGTTCTTTTCATTACGTTTGTGGTATGAAGCTTTTTTCCTTCCTATCTCACTTCTTTCGAGTGGGGAAGACAGATCTGACATATCCGTGAGGGGAGCAAATGCTGGCGTGGAGAGGAGAAGCTTGATCTAACTGTTGTGTGCCTTATTTGGGACACCAGGTGATCTTTTTCTGCCTCTTTCAGGAACCAGCTCCTTACTGGGGTAGGGCTGCAGGAACACCCTTCTGGCTCACTTCTATCCTTGAGCCCTGGGCTTGAAATTTGGGACCATGATGGAAATAATCTGCTCTAATAGGCTGTGTCCCAAGAGAAAAACCTGGTTTTGTGGAGGGGGGAGGTAGGCATATTTATTGGGTGCCTTTGGTAAGTGTATATGAGAAGTTTTGCTCTTGCATTGCACTTGAATCCCATAGCCACCTGGGAGAGAGCGCACATTATCCTAATGTTTACGGCTGAGACACTGAAGCCTGTACAGGCAAAGTAACTTTCCACGGCCAACCAGCTCAAAGTGGCAGGCATGAGAACAGGGGTGGATCTGGCCAGAAAGCTGGGCTCTCGGCTTCCTGTGCGTTTTGACGTTGGACCTTCCAGGAAAGGTGTCGCTGAAAGGGTAGGAGAACAGGTTAGCCCACAGAGAACAAAGTGGCTGAACCAAAGATGGGTGAGAAATTACTATTTGGAAATGAACTTTGACTGTCATGTAACTAGAAGCTGCTGGTGTAATCTGAGGAAAGGATCTGACTGGCCAGGATGGCACCAATAATCCAGGAGGGTAAGAGAGGCATCTAGATAAAGACCTCTGGCTGGGGCGGGAGGTGAGAAAGGAGTATGCAAGATGCAGTTGGGATGGGAACCGTGGACTTTAATGGAGGAGACTGGAGAGCTGTGGAAAGAGCTCTAGTCTATCCCAGAGGCCAGCCTGTGGTTTCTCTCTGAGGAGCTGGGGAGGTGGGTGGCAGAGTAGTTTGGGAGAAGAGTGAGGTCCCCTCATGAGAGAGAGGGAGGGGTGGGCAGTTAAGGTATAAGGCCTCTTTCAGGAAAAGGTATGAGATGTGTCCAACTGAAAATCAGCCTTCCTGTCCCTTTGCCTCACTTAGCATCTGCTGCCAGCGAAGGCCTCCTCCTCTCCGATTGGGTGTGCTCAGTGGGGTGAGGCACAGACTGCCCAGTGGCAAGGTAGCTGGGCAAGGCTGGGTGCACCAACAGACTTGACCTTTGGCACTGTCCGCCTCCCTCTCTCCCAGGACCTCTGAACCCTGACATTTTTCTCGGGCAGGTCCCGGTGTCCCACCCAGACCTGCCCTCTCCCTGGGCAGCCATGCTACAGAGTCACCTTTCTGTACATTCACCAGAGGAATCTTTTCAAAGCTTACACCTTCCACTGCTGTTATGTCTCCCATCAGGGACCAATTGCCCCCTCCTTCCCCTGCTTATCCCCTTTATTCCCAAGGGTGGGGAGTTAGATGCTGTCCCAGTTGAATCCCAGTGAGACATTACAGGCAGTGGCAGCATTACCACTTAACTCAGAGTCCCGAGGTGCTGCCACTCCTGTCTGGAGAGTTCTCATAAATGTGCATACTTCTCAGAGATGGGAACCAGCTATCTGGCTTTTGGGACGGGCAGTGCCAGTTGGGCTTGAGGGTGCAGGTGGGTTGGTCAGGCGGAGGGAGGCCTTGTGAATAAAAGCACCTCTTTAATTCCACTGCTGAGCCTTGATGAGGTTATGGGGGATGGCCTGGAGGAAGTTTTTTGAGTGGGGAAGAACGGTCTGACATATTGGTGAGGGAAGCTAAAACTGGCAGAGAAAAATCTTGATATCATAGTTGTTGGTTCTCAGGGTGATTTTTCCTGCCAGGTATATAATTCCTGGACTCCTTCCTTCTAGCTGGGGAGAGGGAGAGGTGCTAGTTGGAGGTAATTGCTTTTCTAAGGGGCCTTTGAAGACCTTGGTTTCATTTTTGGGGCCCTGGTTCTCTTTGTTCTCAAGTCTACCCATCCTAGAGGGCGGTGTCAGCAGTGTGATCACACCTGGATGCTGAAACCCAGGTGACAAGGCTTCCTGTGGCTTCTGAGCAGTTCATTTCTTATTTCTTATTTTGGCTGTGAAAACGCACGCTCCCCTTCCCTCCTCAGTGTGCTCTGCTGCCATAGCTGGGTGTCTTCAAATCATATGCCCGCGGTCGCATTATAATTATTATGCCCCCTTTTACTCTCAAAGGCCTGTTTTGGATGATAAACTGTTGATAATTCTGTTCCCCCTGACCTTAGCACTCAGTTCTTTGCAGTCTCTATTCGGGGAGCCACCTTTCAGGAAAATCTCTTTTCCACTAGTCAGGGATCACATCTGACCCCTTGTAATATCCCCAGGGCCTGGCTGAGTGTTCAGCACATAGGCCCTCCATAGGCACCCTCAGGCAGGTGCTAGAGATGGCCCCAGGGATGGGTACAGAGGATGAGACTTTGTGGGAGAAGTTTCCAAAAAACTGGTCTGGGGTCATCGTTGGGAGGTGGGGACCCCTGCTGTTTAGGTCCTAAGGACATCAGGTGTCTCACAGTGGCTGCCTCCAAGGTGCTGTTCCTCCGTCCTCCCCAGGGCTGAATCTTGAAATGCTCAGTACCAGTAGTGCTCCTTGCATTTGTTTAACTGCATTGTTTACCATTTTGAGGCCTTGCATGGATGGTATGGCACACTAGGCAACTACGTTCACTCATCCAATTGCTTTTATTAAATACTGAAATCAAGGCTTATAAAAAACTACCATTTACATGTGTGGACCTTAGGCATCCACTCATAACTTAAAGGCATTAAGGGAAAGATGACTGCCTGCAAGCACCTGGAGCCAGCTTAGGGAAGCTGGGTGTCATCTGCTTCTAAGGGTACCCAGAGCAGAAGTAGGTGGAGGTGGAAAAGCAGGAGTCTGGGATTTTGTCCTTCACTGGCAGGAGAGTGAAGAGCAGACCCTGCCTGGTCACTGTGGGGATAACAGCTCTCAGAATGGCCCCAGGGCAGCAAGGCTGCCAGCTGAACTGACAGGCTGCAGATAAAGTGAGGCCTCCGGGTGGCAGCAGATCTCCCAGGACTGGAAGTGGCTGTCTCTGGCCACAGCTCACAGGTGTGCTGACTCTCTGGCAGGTGTGAAGCAGCAGCTGGGGATGGTGCGGCCAGGCTTGAGCATGCTCTCTGTTTTCATCTGCCTACGGGGCACCAAGAAGGACCTGGGTCTGGAATCTACCAACTTCTATGTTTATTTTGACACAGACATGGAAAAGGCGTAAGACGTGTTTGTGTGTGTGTGTGTGTGCGCGCGCACACATGTGCGTGCGTGTGAGGGAGGATGTTAGCGTGGGCCAAGAGCCTATGCACCCCTTCTTATCCCCCTAATGCTGGGGGAAAAATAGGAGATGGGGATGGGAGGAAGTGGGTGAGAATTGCTCATTTCACCCTCAGGATGAAGAGTTACCTCTCGATGCCCAGGGAAAAGGCTGTAGCACACATCCCTCTGGTCTTCATTTCTTCCTCATCAGCCAAGGACCCGACATGGGAGGACCGATTTCCAGGTGGGCTTAAGATGCTGGGAGAGGAGGGTTCAGCAGTAGTGGGGCAGCAGTAGTGACCCCAGGTCTGCATCCCCAGGGCGGTCCACGATGGTCGTGCTGGTGCCCACTTCCTATGCGTGGTTTGAGGAGTGGCAGGAGGAGCCAAAGGGAAAGCGAAGCAGTGACTATGAGACTCTCAAAAACTCCTTTGTTGAAGCTGCGATGTCAGTTGTCATGAAGCTTTTCCCGCAGCTGGAGGGAAAGGTAGGAGGAAGACCGTGGTTGTGGTGATAGCTCTGTTGGTGCCATTGCTACCCTTTCTTTGGGGCAGAGAAATTACCCTGAGGTAACAGCTCCAGGGAAGGGCAGGGACCCGTGCAGGCTTAGTCAAGGACAGTACAAATGGGAGAAGAGACAGGGTCTCACCGTTTCTGTTCTTGTCCCTTGGCTGCTTTTTTTGCCTCCTCAGGTGGACAGTGTGGCTGGAGGATCCCCACTGACCAACCAATTCTATCTGGCTGCTCCCCGGGGTGCCTGCTATGGGGCTGACCATGACCTGGGCCGCATGCATCCTTGCGTGATGGCCTCCATAAGGGCACAAAGCCCCATCCCCAACCTCTACCTGACAGGTACATTGATAACCTCAGACCCTGGGTCTCCTGACACCCAAAGTCTTCTGGCCCTGCTGTCCCTTGCAACCTCCCATACTGAGCTGAGATTTCTGGGCAGGCTAGGGGCCTTGTTTCTGAGCTGTCGTCATCTCTGGGTGACCCTAGTATGAACGGATGAACAGCTCTTGCCCTCCCACGCCCCTCTCCTCACTTGGGTCTCTACTCGTCTCCTAGGCCAGGATATCTGCACCTGTGGGCTGATGGGGGCTCTGCAAGGGGCCCTGCTGTGCAGCAGTGCCATTCTGAAGCGGAACTTGTACTCAGATCTTAAGAAGCTTGGCTCGAGGATCCAGGAACAGAAGAAGAAGAATTAGTTCAGTCAGGGATGAGTCAGAGGATTTTGCCCAGTGCTTGTGGGCATAGCCCCTGACTTAACCATAATGTCTTTCTACATTAGTGCCTTGCTCACATAAAGTACTTGTAATTTGGTTTTAATTTCTGAATAGTGGCCTTATACACAAGTCTAGCATAGATCATAGTCCTTAGACTGAAGCTTTCCCACCTGATGAAGGTGATAAACTCAGTTTTTCAAATATGCCATCCCTACTAAAAGACCCAGGGTGGGCTGCTGATTTAGATAGCCTTAAGGTCTCATCGAGCAGGGCTCTGCATTCCACAGCCACACCTCCTTACTCTGAACAAATACCAGGTGGACAGACCCTTGAAAGTATTGGCGAGCTGAAGCAGGTTGGTCCAGTTGTCCCAGGACTTCCCTCACTTATTGTTAGGGCTGCGTCACAGGAGTTCTACACTGTTGAAGAGAAAGGGTACCTAGTGAAGTTTCAGTCAAAATGTGGAGATGGTTTTGGTTGTAGTGCCATAGTTTCAGAGGCTTTCAGATCCTGCTTTTGCTGAGTTTAGTGGTTGCTCCAGAGGCTGGAGAAATGCGTGACACAATCATTGTGATTGTGGAGGCAACGGAAAGATATTAGTGAGGTCTATGTTAGAAGACAAGGACCAGTTCATATACAGCCAGGCCCTAGGTTCATCTTCCTGGTGATCAGTGGCATCAGGTACTCAGCACCCCAGCACCCAGACAGCCTCCATGCCTGACTGCAGGACACATCCACAATATACAGGGAAGGGTGATGGGAGCAGTTTGGGAACAGAACTGGAAAGATGACTTCACTGGGGTAGAAGCTGCTAAAAAAGTATCCCAGACTACAGGTACAGCAGAAGACACATACAGGGAGATAGCAGAGGCCCAGCTACCTCCTGCACCTAGAACACCAGGACTGCCTGGTGGGAAGGAGAAAGAAGAGGGTTAGAAATCAGTTGACATGAGAAAATGGAAAGCGATAGAATGTGTGCAAAGCCCTGGAGTGGCATTTTCAGTTTAGTGCTACATTTGGGGATTAGATGGGAAGATGAATGAAGATTGACAGAAAAAATGCCCTTTCACTTACTTTTGGCCTTATTTTAATGCAATATTAATAAATTTGATAACTATAGCTTTAATATTTGAAATTTATTTCGGTTTCTGCAATGATACAAAACTACATCAAGATGGCATTCATGGACGCTCAGTGAAACATTATGTACTGAAAATACTTATCATTAGCCCAAAATAAGCTTTAAAAATTATAGTTAAGTTACAAAAAGCTGAGAATATAAAACACTGCAAAACAGTGGCAATCTAATAACCAGGTAAACAAAAAAGGGAAACAATTTCAACAAGCAATCATTTTGTTAATAGTAGACTTCTACATTAAAGGAATATTTATCGAAGAGTGTGAGGAGACAGATTTTGTAGGCAACCTGAAACCCTATACAGCTCAGACCCAAGGCCTTTACACAGGAACTTCTGAATTGAAATAGTTAAGAAATTCATGTGACTTGTGGAACCTGCTGGGTTAAGATTCTTGGCTCTGGATGTATAGTTAAATTAAACCTGAAAATCTCTTCCCAGGATTTATTTAAGCAAGGGGATACCAAACACAACCTTCCCAGCAAGTTTTCAGAAAACAACTGGCAGAACTACAGGATCTGGGCTATAGCACACTCCTCACTGTTCAAATGCTTCAGAACACATGCAAAAGGCTGGCTTTCGCCACGCAAGCAGCATTATGTATCAAGTTACCCTGTAAAAACAAGGGGTGGGCTTCTGCTTTTTGATTTAAATGACATAAATTGGAGAAGAAAATGAGAATCACCATCAGGGGAATTTGGGAGGTTTACAATTCCATCACTGAATAGTTCATTAAAAGCCACCACGGGAAAAGAAACCTCAGAATATATATAGCTAGTTGTCAAGTCTTTCCGAGTTGTCTTAGCCTTTTAGACAGACTGGCCTTCCACTACCCCAGGGTCCCAAAGTGGACTTTCATGGCTCCCTGTGCACCACTGCCCGCCCCACCCCCGGCTTGCCCAGTGCCAGCACACCCTCATCCACACACAATCTCTAGGAAAACTTGCTATCTTTAAAAAGATAACTACCCAGAAATCAAGTTGTCCTTTGGTATGAGAGATGTCCTTGGTTCACTCTTCAAGTGAAAGGTAAATTCTATTGTACTCTTTCAGCACAGGAAATGATACTTCACAGACGCTCAAAAGGTGGAGCTATGTGGATTCAACAATATTCAGTTCTACTTGGTGCAGACCCTCTTGGTTCCTGAAGTCAATCTTTTTTCTTTTTTAAAGATTTATTTTTTATTTATACAATAGCTGGAGTACAGGCCAGAGGTGTGGGAGGGTGAGAGGATTCACCAGAGACAAAGCAGGGAGCAGAACAGGCAGACAGACCTAAAGCACTGCTGAGGGGAGCAGCGGGCAAGACAGGTGAGGTCTGCAGCGTGCCATGTGGGAATCTCCCTGGCCGGCCGGGAATTGACCTGATGCTGCAGAGGCTGCGGACAGCTTCATAGCACTGTGCTCAACCCGCTGCACCACCGGGGAGGCCCTGAAGACAATCTTCCTGCGCTCTTCATGAGCAAAACCTACCAAAAAGGGACCGTAGCCAGCAGCCAGCAAGAGCTGTGTGAGAACTCAATTATGTCACATCCTGATGTCCTCAACAAAGAAAACTTCTTTGCAAGAATAAATTGAACTCCTGAACTACCTAGGAAATGCCACTAGGCTGGGCAGATGCAGAGAGTGCCTGCTAAGGATGCATCCAAAGCAGCTTAGTTTTCTTGGTGAGACCGGACAGAGACATCAGATGCTGATTGCCTTATTATCTGAAGTTCAAAAATGAGTAAGTGGCAAACTACTGGAATAGAATGGAAAGAGCCAAATGGGGTGGGGGAGTTAGGAAGGTACATAGGAAAACTTGAGCTGGGCCCTGAAGAAATAGATTCTGGGAAGGCAAGGCAAAGAGGAAAAGGCAGTGCATTCTAAGCAAACTGCAACCATGGGACACCTGGGACCAGAGGGCATAGCAAGAGCAAAAAGCAGCGGGGTCTAGGTGACACCTGACAGGAGGGCACTCTGGCTTGGCTGGGATACAGAGGAAGACAGGAGAGTGCCAATCTGCAGAGTCCTGAGCACTAAAGCATCTATAAACTGGGTTCTCTAAGCTATGAGAGGTAGTGAAAAAAAAACTTTAGATAAGGGCAAGTATTTTTTTTTTTTTAAAGATTTATTTATTTATTTATACAAGCACTGGGTACAGTCACAAGCGCGGGAGGGTGAGAGAATTCACCAGAGCCAGAGCGGGCAACAGAACAGGCAGACTGATGAAACACACTGCTGAGGGGAGCAGCGGGCAAGGCAGGAGAGGTCTGCGCGCCATGTGGGACCCTCCCCGGTGGCTGGGGATCGAACCGGTGCTGCAGAGGCAGCAGGCAGCTTCACAGCCCAGCGCTCAACCGCTGCACCACTGCCGAAGCCCAGGGCAAGTATTTTGAAAAGAGCAATCTGGTCTCTCTGCACACCAGAGATGAGCAGGAGAGCCAATCTGTGGCTCCTTAAAAAAAAAAAAAAAAAAAAAAAAAAATCACAAAAAACCCAACACTCAAAAAAGAAGTGACGGGAATGTGGGTATAGGACAGGAAAACAAAGAAAATGGGAAGGAAGGTTGTAGCTGAAGATATTAGAAGAAAAAAATGTATAAGACTTGTAACAAGAGAAAATGATAAAAGCTTGCAGTTTGGAGTTGAGATGATTAAAGAAATGAAGTTGAGAAGGGTGTACAATAGCTGGAAGAAAGAAATCCTGTTTTAGTGACAACAGGACAATCAAACTGAAATAGCACACAGGACTGGATTCTTTGGGATGCAGGTCAAGGATAAAGGCTTGGGAGTTACAATAAAAAACAGATGAGTTTCTGAGGAGACAAAGGAATAGCAAGATCTGCGTTTGATAATATGATGAACAGGATGGTTCTTTCTTCAGACTTCTTCAGTAGCACAGAAAAGGCAAAGAGTTATTAGAAGCCAGGACAGTTTGTCAGAGAAACCAGAAGAAGGGAATTTCAATGTGGAGGGTAAGTATGTCTGTCAAGAGTAAGACAAAGCCTTGAAAAGAGCCATTGGATTTGGTGTTCTGAACCTCTGGAAAAACACCACTAGTAGAAAGATAGGAACCAAAGTAGGTTTATGAAGGTTATAAAGAAAATAAATGGCAAGGCAATGGACACAACTTACTGGAAAAGCTGAGCAGTAAAATGATTAACAAACAAGATGGTCAGGAATGGGGGAAATTTGGGCATGCACGAAGGCAGAAGGAAAGGTGCTGTTGTAGACAGGCACAAATAGAAAACATTAGAAAGGAGGCCAGGGAGAGAAAGGAGACAGAAGGGAAAAAAGCAAAAGGGTCTTCCTCAATGGTAGGAGAATCTGCAAGAAGATCCCTCAGATCGGAGGAGGTATTAATGGTTGGTGCACAAGTAGAGTGATGGCAAGGACCATTCATTCCTTCATCTCCACAAAAATGTTTATCCCCCCCAAATGGAAATCTCAACTCAAAGCCATGTGCTGTTTTAAGCAAGGGGGAAGATAATATGACAAACGGATGGACCCTTCTTCAGACTTCTTCAATAGCAGAGAATTCATATTCCCCTCACCGCCTGCATTCCTTGTATTTCCCTGAGATCAGTGATTCTCTTTTATTTTTTTCCCAGAAACCACTTTCACTACGCTCACTGTAACTATGCATGACTAGAACAGATTTAAGACATCAAACAACAGCATTATTCAAGATGCTACTCTCTGTTATACCTGGGGAACTCTCAATTTCTTGAATTTTAAAAAACCCTGACATGGGATAGGAGGAGAATTTTTACTAATTGTCCTTGGCATTTTATATCATACGAGAGGACCACTCACTAAATTAAGGTAAAACAGTTGGTGAGAAATGTTTTAGAAAAGTCATTCGAAGAAACTGCAAACTCATACCAAAACCCTTCTACAAGTTTTTTGCAAAAAGTTCCTATTACAGTTGCACGTATGGAAGAACATAGCATTTCAATAGTAGTAACTGTATTTTTAAAAATCTGCAATGGGAATAGCGGCTTTACAGCTTTACTCCCACGACCCTCAAGTTCAGTTTTATACTCAGTATACCAAATGGAAGTTGATTCACTTTGTCTTCATGAATATGAAAATATCAGAAAAACTGTGAAGAACATATGCTAGATGGGTTGCAGGCAATAAAGCATTTTTTCCAACTGCCATTTGGTTTACTGCTGAGGCCTTTGGAGAAGTATGTGTTCACAGTGGCCCTCTGCCCATCAGTATTCATCTTCTTCATCATTTGCAAGGCATATCTCCCCAAAGTAAGAGGCCTTGGCAGAAAACACCTCCACTCTTCTCCTGGGCTTTACAGATGTTTTGTGCTGAGTGCAAAACTATTTTCAAGGGTTAACTTTACTACAAGGCCCAAGAGAGGGTGCTCAGCAGTAGTAGCCTACTAGGGCTGGGGTCTCCCTTTGGTCAGAGCTGGGTTCCCACTTGCTCCCTCTACTCACACTCAGAGGTGAAAGGGTGGAAAACACCACCATAAATAAAGGGAACACAAGAGTGCAAGGTCACCAAAGTGCAGGTGCAAAAACCAAAAGTCCCCTGCCTCTGTCACCAAACTCCAGAGGAGGGACTGTCTCTTAGGTCACAGTTTTTACTCTTCATTTCTCTTGATTTAGAAACAAATCAGCAGGCAGGACAAGGTTCTCAAGAACAGAAAGATCAAATCTGAAACGAGAGCAAAATGGTCCATTGGTAAGGTTCATCTTTTTTCAGAGGAATTACTTTAATGCTAATTTGGGATGAGGGAGGAAGGGGGAATACCTTATAGGTACTGCAGTTCAGAGAAAAAACTCAGTATTAAGACAAACTGACCCTCTACCTTATATCAGTAACTAATTAAAAAAAAGGACAAAAATTATATAAAACTCATTTTGAAATAAAACAAACACTAGAAAACTAGAAAGTATATATTTGGTGGAGGAGACATGGCAAGCTTGGTTTTTTTTTTTAAAGATTTATTTTTATTTTATTTATGCACACAGGTACTGGGGTGTAGGTGTGGGGGGGGGGTGTGTGAGAAGATTCACCAGAGACAGAGGAGGGAGCAGAACAGGCAGATCTACTGAGATACACTGCTAAGAAGAGCAGTGGGTGAGACATGAGAGGTCTGCTGTGCCACGTAGGTTAGTTTCCTGGCTGGCAGTTGAACTTAGGCCACAGTGGCTGGTGATAGCTTGACAGCTCTGAGACTTTAACCCCTGTGTCACCAGGGAGGCCTGAAACTTGGTTTCTGCTCTCTATCATTCCACATAATTTCAAGTTGTCTACGTGGACTTTTTTTTAAAAAAAGATTTATTTATTTATTTATTCATTCATTCATTTATTTATTTATGCAAGAACTGGGGACTGGGGTACAGGCCAGATGCGTGGGAGGGTTCATCAAGACAGAGCTGGGAACAGAACAGGCAGACAGACGAAATACACTGCTGAGGGGAGCAGCTGGCACGACAGGAGAGGTCTGCCGCGCCATGTGGGACCCTTGCTGGCCGGCACTGCACTCAACCACCTGCGCCACCAAGGGAGGCCCACTTTTTTAATCAGAAAAAAATTGTAAGGAGGAAAAGTCCTAAGAGTCATTTATCTAGGAAAGTACTAGGTCAAGGGCTCCATTGCGAAGCTAACCTAGTAGGCTGTTAGCAAAGTTCTGAGTGCAGTGGCTTACTCTGTAGCTGATAAGAGCTGCACAAGTGATTTGCGTTCCCCACAGGAAGTCTGGGGACAACCCACATTTAGGTAGGTTACTAACTACTCCTTATCAGTGACTTCATTGTCACCGAACAGAAAGGGGAAGGAAAGCATGTGTTGGCAGCAAGGCAGGGGGAAGACACTGTCCCACTTAAGCTGCCTTTGGGAAAAGCTTACTCAGTTCCTGGTGCTACAAGGTGGAAAGGGAGGCTTTACTGTCTGGCAGAGGCCTCAGCTGGCCACACTCAGGAAATCTAGAGCCCAATGCTAAGCAGGGCTGATCCAGGGTGTTGAAGGCCTGTATGTTTCGGGATTTGTTCATTTGTACTACGTGTAGTCTAGTGCTGTGATACAGAAAGTGTGTCAACAGCAGTGAGCATCATCTGTGTAGATGCACATGCTTTATCCCATGCCTAGAGAAATCAGATTTTGTTTCTTGTCACAATTCCCAAGGTGATGCATATGCCTATTAAAATTCATGAAGTGCTGCGGTAGGACAAAAAGCGCAGAACAGGAGCCTAGGGTGTAGCCATCAGATCTTGATTTTGCCATAAATTTGTAATGGGAACTTAAGAGGAAAAAAATCATGTTCTGGGCCTCAGTTTCCTCATTTGTCAAGAGAGAACTGTTGCAGAATACCCAAAAGTCTACTTTGTGACCTGAAAAAAGCAGGGGCAATGATAGCAGCATCCCCAAATCAGCTGCTGTTGCTATGCCATGCAAGCCCACCACGAAGCCCACATCCCATCTCTTTCCCATGGACCTGGTTCTTCCCTCCTTACCTTCTGGTCCAAACGCTGATAGTCACCAGACTTTGGCCTTCGAGTGACTTTGGATCGTTTTCCTTCCAGAACAAAAGCAATAATCTGGGAAAAGCATAAAGAAAGTGATTAACAAGTGGCTCTCTAATGACCTATTTGTCTCTGAAATGCGAGGTGGTCACCTGGTCTACATTTGTTAATGACCCTGAGGGGAAAAAAAACAATTCTCCCTCCCCTTCCCCAAGGACGCCTACTTATAACAATTTTAAGGATGACAGGACCTAGTTACATCAGAATCCCTCATACTGCTAAACAGGAAATGACAGACAGAGAAGGGCTGTTCTGGACACTAGCTTGTGGGAGTCTGTATAATTTACTACAGGCCACTCAGCTGAAGATCTACAGACTCTTACTCAGGAGCTCCAGGCAAAGATATCTCCTCCCTTACTTATTATAAACATTAAGTACTTTTTTTTTCAAAAGACTTATTTATGCATACAAGATCTGAGGTGTAGGCCAGAGGTGTGTGTGTGTGTGGGGTGAGAGGATTCACCAGAGATAGAGTGGGGAGCAGAGCAGGTGAGACAGGAGAGGTCTGTTGCGCTATCTGGGTCAGCTCCCTGGCCAAGGATTGAACTCATGAGACAGTGGCTGGCGATAGCTTGATAGCACTGTGTCTTTAACCCCTGTGCCACCAGGGAGATCCTGCATAATTACTTCTTATCTGCAGATGTACTTTCACCTCTCACTTTGCTTCATTTTAACTTTACCACTTTCATTCCCCTAAGGTTACTCTCTACGATGAACACTGGATATAGAATAAGGAACACACCAATTAACTCACTCCTCACTGACTATTGTGAAATGAACTCTTCAATTTTAACCAGGCTGGACAAACAGTACACTAAATTCTTAGGTGTCAACAGGACATGACATAATTTTGTCATTAGAGTGATTGCTAAGTGAGAGAGATTACTTCGCAACAAACGCTGCCAATGAAGTAAAAGGTGAGCAGATCCTTACAATTTCTGACTTTTCTTCTAATCAAACTCACTGACTGCAGAAGGCAGTCAGTCCCTGGGTTCTTTGATGTCGTTAAAGACTATGTAACTGAAACAGCTTTCTGCCATTGGAGATGGAAGTTAAAAACTTGGGAAAGGGGCCTCCCTGGTGGCACAAGGGGTTAAGATGCAAGCTATGAAGCTATCTGCAGCCACTGCAGCACGAGTTCCATCCCCGACCAGGGAGCTACCCACACGGCGCAGCAGATCTCTCCTCACTCGCCTGCTGATTACCTAGCAGTGTACTTCAATCTGCCTGCTCTGTTCCCCACTCTGTCTCTGGTGAATCCTCTCACCCATCACACCTCTGGCTTGTACCCCGGTTCTTGTATGCATAAATAAATCTTTAAAAAAAAAAAAACAACTTGTGAAAGGAAGTGAGAAGTGATGCACTGTTTTGAGAATGGAAATGGGAAAACAAGTGCTCACTGCTTACAAACTGTCAAGTTCTCAGGTTCTCTGAGGCCGTGAAGGATCTAGTTCAGGCATATGGGAGGAAACCCCAATTCAGGTCAGATTATAATAGTGTCCTAACATGGCACCTATGTAGTAGCAGAGGGCACTCAGAGGAAAAAGGTAACATAAAATGAAAGATTTAAAAAAACAAGGGTAGGGCCTGCCTGGTGGCGCAGCGGTTGAGTGCCAGGTTGCGAAGCTGCCTGCAGCCTCTGCAGTGCCGGTTTGATCCCCAGCTGCTGGGCGAGGGTCCCACATGGCGTGCAGACCTCTCCTGCAGCCCGCTGCTCCCCTCAGCAGTGTACTTCATCACTCTGCCTGTTCTGTTGCCTGCTCTGGCTCTGGTGAATTCTCTCACCCTCCTGTGCTTGTGACTGTACCCAGTGCTTGTATAAATAAATAAATCGTAAAATAAATAAATGACCTCAGATTTCTGTAATATATACTTAGTTTCCAATGTAAATGTGTAATTAAAAATTAAAAAAAAAAACAAGGGTAAAGAACTATAGTAGGGTCTGAGAAAAAACTCGTTTGTTTTAAAAATCTTCTAGCTCATAGGCAGATGGATAATGGATACTGGTCCATATCCATGCTCTCAAGGTGGAGGAAATCCCATTTCTTAAGGCAACATTTTTTCCTTTATTGAGGTAACATTGGTTTAAATGATTCAGGTTAATAGGCTTACACCTCTTCAGATGTATGTTACCACACCACCCCAACCAAAGCAACCATAGCCCTTCTCTGGACTTACCTTGCGTTTGTTGTGATAAGCAATGTAGAGGCCAGCAACGATAATGGCTGCCGTCACCAAGTATGCAAAGAAGTGGCTGCTCTCTGCACTGGCACTTCCAAGATTGTCTTCGTAAACATCATTTTTGTCCATATTCATAGAATTCAAAAGTGTCCCTTCACGGTTCTCACTGGAGGCAGGGTCATGCTCTGGGTCACCTTCAGTCTCCTTGAATAACACATCTTCAATCGGTTCTGAAGATTTACCTTCTCCCTCATGCTGGAGTGACGTGGAAGAGCCCTCTTTTGTGAACTGTTGCTCGGTATCCAAGTTGCCAGGACCATTTTTCAAGGACTGATGCTCCTTAGCCAAAGTACCAGATTTGTCTTCAGTGGTCAGGCGCTGTTCCTTATCTGACTCAGCAGGGTTGTGTTGGGTGGTCTGCTGCGGGTTCTTCCCGGACTCCGCAGGGTTGTGCTGGGTGGTCTGCTGCGGGTTCTTCCCGGACTCCGCAGGGTTGTGCTGGGTGTTCTGCTGCGGGTTCTTCCCGGACTCCGCAGGGTTGTGCTGGGTGGCCTGCTGCGGGTTCTGCCCGGACTCGGCAAGGTTGTGCTGGGTGGCCTGCTGTGGGTTCTGCCCGGACTCGGCAGGGTTGTGCTGGGTGTTCTTCTTCGGGTTTTTCCCCGACTCGGCAGGGTTGTGCTGGATGGCCTGCTGCGGGTTCTGCCCAGACTCGGCAGGGTTGTGCTGGGTAGCCTGCTGTGGGTTCTGCCCGGACTCGGCAGGGTTGTGCTGGGTGGCCTGCTGCGCGTTCTGCCCGGACTCAGCAGGATTGTGCTGGGTGGTCTGCTGCGGGTTCTTCCCGGACTCCGCAGGGTTGTGCTGGGTGGCCTGCTGCGGGTTCTGCCTGGACTCGGCAGGGTTGTGCTGGGTGGCCTGCTGAGGGTTCTGCCCGGACTCGGCAGGGTTGTGCTGGGGGGCCTGCTGAGGGTTCTGCCCGGACTCGGCAGGGTTGTGCTGGGTGTTCTGCTGCGGGTTCTGCCCGGACTCGGCAGGGTTGTGCTGGGTGGTCTGCTGCGGGTTCTGCCCGGACTCGGCAGGGTTGTGCTGGGTGTTCTGCTGCGGGTTCTGCCCCGACTCGGCAGGGTTGTGCTGGGTGTTCTGCTGCGGGTTCTGCCCGGACTCGGCAGGGTTGTGCTGGGTGTTCTGCTGCGGGTTCTGCCCCGACTCGGCAGGGTTGTGCTGGGTGTTCTGCTGCGGGTTCTGCCCGGACTCGGCAGGGTTGTGCTGGGTGTTCTGCTGAGGGTTCTGCCCGGACTCGGCAGGGTTGTGCTGGGTGGTCTGCTGCGGGTTCTGCCCGGACTCGGCAGGGTTCTGCTGGGTGGTCTGCTGCGGGTTCTGCCCCGACTCGGCAGTGTTGTGCTGGGTGGTCTGCTGCCGGCCCTTATCCGATTTGCTGGAGTTGCGATCCGCGGTCAGCTGCGGCTGCTGCTCCTCCAACGCGATAGAGTTCTTCCCGGATTGGTGATCCTCATCTAACTTGGCGGAGTCTCGGGTCTCAGAAGACGGCAGGTTCGAGGTAGACTGGTTGGGATTTCTAACTGAAGGTTCATCTCTCTTCGGCCTGACAATGGGGATCGAAATGTCATGGGCTGAGGTGTTCAATGCGGCTCCTGAAACGGAGAAACCAGTTGGCTCTGGAGAGACGCAGGCTACAAGGAAACCCTCACAGCTAGCAGATACCGAGACGGGCAAACGGGGGTGTGGGCGATGGCGAACGGCGGGGTGTAGGACGGGGAAGAAGCGCGCTCAGGTGGCAATCAGCCACGGCAAGGATGGTGGTTCTGGGGGCGAGAGTGGGATTACTGCGGGTGTTGTGGGTTTAGGGAGGGGGTTTTACCGGCAGCTCCAAGGCTCAGCAGGACCAACGCAACCAGGAACCGCATCCTGCACAGACTGCGCTTCCGCCCTCTGCAATTCTCGCGAACTGTGCTCGCGGGCTCAGCGCTCTCGGCCCCGCCCCTTCCTGCGTACGTCCCCCTCCCGAGCGGCTCCGTCCGGAAGAAGGGCGGGGCTTGTGGAAGGCCCGCCCACGCGCGGGGCCGCTGTCGCTTCCCCAGCGGCTCCGTCCGGAAGAGGGGCGGGGCTTGGGGAAGGCCCGCCCACGCGGGAGCCATGTCCCCGCCGGCTGTGGCGACCTCGGTGAATGACAGCGCCTTGCGGTTCCCAGTGGAAGGCTGCCTGCCTTTTCCTGGTTTCTTTGCTCCACAACGGGCGCAACAGGCTGTCATTCCCATTCATCGTAGAGGCGGGACTTGAGCTCCCCGACCCGCAGGCGGCACCGAGGGGGTGACGTGGCGGGCCGGGCTCCTCTTCCTCCCTCCGCCGCTCCCAAGTTTACCTTCTCCCCTTCTCGTGGTTATTTCCCCGCAGCAGCTGCACACAAACACGCTGGGGTCGGTCTTTCCCTTCTGGAAACAGAAACCCGTCACCTTAGTCACAGGAGCCTTCCAATCTCACCTCTCTTCTCTCACGATTTCGCGGGAACTGCCCTCCGAGGTCGCCCAAGAGCTTTTCTAAAAAGCATGCTTTTGTTTGATCATAAAAATGACTCCTGTTCACTGTAGAGAACTTAATGAAAGTATACAATAGAAAACAAAATCTATGCCCCACTCTTTAGGGACAGTACTATGTTTTAGTATATGTCTTGCAAACATTTTTTTTGATTGGGTAATACACGCTAATGGTTCAAAAATAGAACCTATACCTTCAAAAAAAGGTAGAGGTTAGAAAGTTCTTTCTCCCTACCCCTCCACAGGTTGCCACTTAACATTTACTGTGCTTCCATCTGGTGTTTTGTTTTTGTTTTTTAAATAAATACAAATGTCTTGTTTTCCCTTCCTTAATGTATTTTCTTGGTTTTTGTTCTGTGCATATTCATTTGCTCCCAAGTTGAAAACATTGAGTAGTTTCGCATCCCACTGCTTAAAATTACTGTTATATTTATTTGTTAATTGTTGCTTGAAGTCGTTTTATGACCATTTGCTTTATAGACTGTGATTATGTTATAGGACAGAGAGAGGGGCAGCCCAAACCCCGCAAACCTGCCTATTCTAAATGGGTTCTGCCATCCGCCGCATCAACACAAAACATATGAGACTTTAATGGGAAGGAACTTTAATAAAACTAGGAAACAATACAGGTAAGGCAAATAATCTAGTTTCTAGATGAAGCACCCAAAGTTACCCATCCCCTCGTGGGTAAAAGTCCATCCATATGGGAATGGCGCAGAGCAAAGCCCCAAAGCCTGCCACAAGTCTAAAGCATCTTCCAGTGGGGACCCACAGAGAAGGGTCACAAACAACCGGACAAGTCCGGAAGGAAAAGAGCAAAATCAACATCAAGATAAAAGCTGCCATTGTCACCTCCCCACGGGTCTCACCCACATCTGTGTCACCCAGTCCACGACCAAAAGACAAGCACAGTTTGTTCACGTGTCTCTAGGCTCCATGTGCCTCCTCCAGGTCTCCTGGCTCCATCCTACTTCCTTCCTCAGTCTCTTCTTCTCCTTCTCCTCCTCCTGCTCAGCTCCACCCTCCCTTTGGTGGGGCAGGGAACCTCCCCCTTTCCTGGGACCACCCTGTTACAATTACAGTGATTAAAAAGTGTTAGTCACGGGCCTCCCCGGTGGCGCAGCGGTTCCTCGGCGGCGCCGGTTCGATCCCCGGCTGCTCCCCGGCCACCGGAGGAGGATCCCACATGGTGCGCAGATCTCTCCTGCCACCCGCTGCTCCCCTCAGCAGTGTACTTCAGTCCTTCTGCCTGCTCTGCTCCCCACTCTGGCTCTGGTGAATTCTCTCACCTTCCCGCGCTTCTGACTGTACCCAGTGCATGTATAAACAAAACAAACAAACAAATATAATAAATTAATAAATAAAAACATGCCTCTATTAAAAAAAAAAAACACTAAGAAAAAGTGTTAGTCACAAATTTAATGGAACATGCAATTTAGTGGTGCATTCAAATATTTACACAGTTGTGTGCATGTGTGTGGCATTTCCAAGAAATGCAAAGCAAGAAAAGTACAGAAATTATGTGATCTGTTGAGGAACGGCCCTTTATGCTGAGGTTGGGAGGGTGTAGGTATTTCTCAGTGGAGTTTGAAGGAATGTTTCCTGGATGAACATACAGCATGTGTTAAGACCTGGAGGTACGTGGAAACCTGGTATTTTGCGTAAATCTGAAGACTAAAGATAGGATTTTGAGATAACAAAGATCAAGGAGAGTGACTGGGGAGCCAGAGGGAGATTACAGAGTAAATGATCAGAGAGTTGTCCATGGGAGGAAGGTGTGAGAACCAGGTTGGGGTGAGCCATAGAAAGTAAATTTGCTTCTGGTCTTGTGTTTTAGATAACACTGAAGTGTAAATGTTGGCAGGGGGGGGGGGGGGGCGGGTTACTGAATATGTGAGCATGGAATTCAAAGGTGAAAATAGTAACTATTTTCTAACAAATGTAAATATGTCCAAAAGCATGCTGGTTAATGGTTTAATTAAAAGTATTTTATGAATTGCTCATAAGTGTTTATTTTTTTTGACAGTTCCATTATTATTAGAGATCTGCATTATTTTTAGCTTTCTACTCTTGGTAACTGCTATTTATTCAGGTAATGACTAGGTACATTTTAAGATATAAAGAAAGATCAGAAAGATTAAGCAGTTTGCTTAAATTCCACATGTTATCTTAACCCAACCTTTGATAGTAGTGAGTAGTCATAATCTGCCAATTAGCTAGGAGAAAAATATTTCTTAACTGTTGTATGATATTTAGTACACAAGTAATTCACATGACTGAGGGCAAGTTGCTAAATTGATTTAAGTAGCTTTCTGTGTCTGTAAAGCTGGAAAGATCCCAACCTGTCTGACCTTTTGAAGGACTTGGGATCTCATATTCCCAGGTCTTCAATCCTCCAAAACTCCTTAATAAAATGGTTTGAATTCCTCCCCCATTGCTTTAATTATCAGCTCCTTCCTTATGAAATGGGAATAAAAGGATTGAGAAAGAGATAACACATGGAGTATTTAATATAATGCATAGCATAGGATAAAGGCTTTCAAAATTTATTATTATAGTAAATATGTTAATTATAGACAAATTAAAAAAAAAAGATTAGCCAAAATAAGAAAATAAAGCCTGTGGTCCAGAGCTACTACCATGAATATTTTGTTGGATCTTTTTTATGGGCATGTATGTGCATATGATAGATTAACTGAAAATGAAGTAAGTTACAAAACCATATCTATAATTTTTACCTTGCTGATGTCTTTGTAGCATTTAGAATTAAGACTAGGCAAGTGAACTAGAGTCTCCTCTGGGACACTGTCATCTTGTTTTCCATGGTTTCTTTACTCAACATTCTTTGGGGGGAGCTTCCAATTGTGAAGCCGTAGGATCAAATACAGCAGAATGGTGAGAGCAAACTTGGTTGTAGTGAGGTTAAGTAGTGAATGGAAGGTAAGTAGAAACTGCCTTTTCTGCAAGTTTGGAAGGGCATTCCTAATATGGGAGAGAATCAAGTGTTTTTATTGAGGGGAAAAAAATCATTAGAGAGCATGACCAAGCTTATCAAACGGAGTTGATTATTGACAGAACAAGGTACCAAAGGAAGAGGGATTGGAGCCTATGGGGGATTAAAGCAGTTGATCTTGGGTTGAATCAGAGTTGACCCTGAATCCTATGGAAAGGCAGTTAATTAGGTAAGGATGTGGGAGATCAAAATAAGAGATTTCATCTCACCTGAATTTTCTTGATAGTCTTAGAGGTTGGGCAGTCTTTGAAAGGGAGAAGATGGGGATTAAATTGAGGGCTTCCGAATGGTGAAGAGTGGTTGAGGGAACTAGAAGACAGAGTTGACCAAGGACACATGTAGTAAACACTTGAGTAGCAGGTGAGCGGTACTGAAGGCCTGGCTGAGCTTAGGCACCACTTATCTATTGTGGCACCTAGTTCAGCTATGTGGGTTTTCTCAGGCAGTACTTCTACCTGGGATGGAAGTAAAGAAAGCAGATGTTAGAACTACACCTAATTTAGATCAATTTTGGTGTAAAGAGATGATAGGAGGTCACTTTAATAAATCTTAAAATATCCTTGTACCTTTTCATGATAAAAACACTCAAGCAACTAGGAAAGAAGAAAACTTCCTCAACCTGAAAGTACAGAAACATCACAGCTGACATTAATGGAAAAAGACATCTGGGTGCTTTCCCAGAAACAGACAGTGATGTTTGCTCTCACCACTTCTATTCACCTTTGTACTGGTATTAGCCAAGATGATTAGGCAAGAAAGAGAATATAGGGCATCCAGATTGCAGGGACAAAATAAAACCTCTATTTTTCAGATGATATGATCTTGTATATAGAAAATCCTAAGGCATTCACTAAAAGTTTATTAGAATGAGTTCAGCAAGTTTGTTAAATATGAGATCATAAACAAAAATCAATTTTATGTGGTTATACATTTACAAGGACAATTAAGAAACAATTCCTTTAGCAATAGCACAAATAATAAAATCCTTGGGAATAAATTTAGTAAAAGAAATGAGGGGCATCCCTGGTGGCACAAGGGGTTAAGATAGCACTATGAAGCTATCCGCAGCCATGGCAGCTCCGTTCCTGGCCAGGGAGGTGACCCACATGGTGCAGCAGACCTCTCCTGTCTCGCCCGCTGCTCCCCTCAGCAGTGTATTTCAGTCGATCTGCCTGTTCTGTCCCCCACTCTGTCTCTGGTGACTCCTCTCACTGCCCCACCACCTCTGGCCTGTATCCCAGTTCTTGTATGCATAAATAAACATATCTTTAAAAAAGAAAAATAAATGCAACATGTATACTCTGTAAACTATACAATATTAAATAAATTAACATACTTTTCAACAAATGGTGTTGGGACAACTGGCTAATAAGTATATGTAGACACGTTCAACATCACTAGTATTAGCTAAGTCAAAATTACAATCATACCTATGTGAGTGGCTATGATGCAAAACCCATAATAACATGTTGGTGAGGATGTGTACATACTGGAACTCTCACCTATTGCTGGTACAAATGTAAACTATTGCAGCTGCTATAGAAGAAATTTGGCAATTCCTCAAAAAGTTAAACATAGACATACCATATGACCCAATTCCACTCCCAGGTAGGTACCCCAAAGAATTGAAAACAGGGACTCAAATATTATGCTGATATGTCACTGCTCATAGCAGCATTATTCACAATAGCCCAAGAGCCCAACAGATGAATGGATAAACACAAATGGATTTATACACACAGAGGAATATTATTCAACTATAAGGGAATTCTGATAAGTGCTATTATATGGATGAATCTTGAAAATATGCTAGGAGAAGTAAGCTAGGAAGGAAAGGACAACTCATTCCATTTATATGAAATATTTAGAATAGACAAATTCATAGAAACAGGAAGAAAAGAGGCTGCCAGCAACTGGGGAGAGGGAGAAATGAGGCACCTTTGCTTGATTATTATAGAGATTCTGTTTGGAATAATGAAGTTTTGGAAATAGTGGTGATGATTGTACGACACTGTGATGTTAATATCATTGAATTATAAAAATAGTTAAAATGGTAAATTTTATCTTTATTTTTACCACCATAAAAAAAGGAATGAATCACTGACAGATACTACAACTGGGTGAACCTTGAATATAATCCGCTAAAAAAGTGAGACCTACAACTTGGATTATTTCATTTACTGGAATGTTCAGAATGACAAATTCAGAAACAAAAAGTAGATTAGTGGTTGCACAGGCCTGCAAGGGTGGTGGGTAGGGCAGGAGGAAATGAGGGTTACTTTTGAGGTGATGAACATTCTGAAATTGACTATAGTGATAATTCTATGCTAAAAACCATAGAATTTTAACACTTTAAGTGGGTGAATTGTATGTTATGTGAATTACATCTCAAAGCTATCACCAAAAAAAAATTAATTGCATTCTTAGATACCATGCAAAGTAAACACAGGATGCCCCTCACATCTTGGCAATTATTAAAAAAAATTGAAAATAAACAAGTTCCTTCCTTTGGATCTCAGTTATCAGGAGTGACTGGTCTATGTACATTTGAGTCTGGAAGCTGGGTTGGGTTTTTCTAATTGCATCAAACATGTATAACACCCTGCTCCAGTAAGTGATGATCTTTTTCTGCCTCTCCACAGAAATCTTTCACAGGGCTTGGCATGAAGTTGGGACTTGATTCAACAAAAGGACTGAAACAATCAGAAAAGGTTTTGCAACTGCAATTTTATTTTCTTTTGTGAAAATAAACAACTGGGAGTTTAAATTGCTCCAAAAAAAACCCCCATAAAAACAAAAAGAAATACACACAGAAGCATGTGAGGTGGTGGGGAGGAGGGTCTTTAGAACTTTGGCAGATTGTGCTAGCACTTACCCAGGGGACAGGAGCCAGGCCTAGGAGCCCGGTCCCATCTGCCATGCTGGGACCATCAGGGAAAGATCAGATCTCAATTGGTAAGGGGGTGGAACACAGACTTCTTCGAGGAGGAAGTGGCAGGCACACACCTTGAGTCCCTTCAAATGTGGGGAAGAACCATTTCAGAGAACTTCTTTCCCTACTGGAAGCTGGAGACTGGTGGGTCAGGGCTCACTGAGGGGCAGGAGATGCTGGTGGAGAAAAATCAGGCAGAGCTGGCTTTTCACATGGTGACAGCCTTACACTGGGCAGAGAACGAAGGAGGCAAAGAACCGGTGGAATTGAGGAAAGGAGAAAAAACTTGGGCGAGATAAAAGTAAATGTCCAGCAGTGGGATCTAGAAGAGGGACAGACAGGAACGGCAGCAGTGGCCAACATGCGCACTGGGCAGGACATGGTGGGCATGGGGAGCAGGGAGGGGGCAGGAGGAACAAGAGGTAGAGAGATGGGTGTCTTCTGCCCAGGTCCATCCACGACAGCACTTAGGGGAGAATAACACACTACTGTTCAGTTCTCTTTCTTTTAAAGAATTTTTTTTGTTTGTTTTGTTTTTTTTAAAAAAGCCTTAAGATCAGCTACTGGTTACATCTACAAAATGTAAAGTGCTGTTGTTACCAGTCACTTTACAGAACAGTCCAGAGTGGTCAAATATTGACCAATAAAGTTTCTTTTTTTTTCTTCTGAATCATTACTACTCGATGAGTCACTTGTCAGCCTGCGTAGGTCAGGGGGCAGCTTAGTGGGCAGACTTGGTGACCAAGGAAAGAGGCTGGGCCTGGAGTACTGGCAGGGTCTGGTGGGCATGGAGTGTGGCTGGGAAGGTAGGAGGAGAAGTCAGCAGAGCTGTAGGCACGGACCCGATGGGGAGGGGTCGGGAGAGGAGGGGTGGCTGGCTACCCAACTGGCCAGAGGTGGTGGCTGCGGCCTTAGCCGACAGGAAGGCAGCCGAGTGGAGAGCCAGTTGAGCCCGGGTCTCTGGCTTGGTGGTGAGGGAGAGGGGCTGGGCTTGCTCTGAGTGGGTTGCAGCAGGAGCAGCTGGCGAGGCCAGGGCTGCAGAGGGAGTGGCAGGGGAGTCCAGCATGCTGCCATGGGAGGAGGCAGGGCTGTCACAGGGCTTCTCCGGAGGCAGGTACTGAACGCATGGCTTCTTGCTTTTGGAGGCCAGAGTCCCTGGCAGGGGGAAACACAAGAAAGAGTAAGCAGCCAGTAGCTCTGGGTAAGGCAGAGGCTGCGAAAGAGCCCTGGTTACACATATCCTCTAGAAACACCCAGGGAGGGGAGAGATGACCTGAAATACTTCTGAGGCTTTTCAGACTAGGTGACTGCATTCAGAGACCTAGCGTAGAGAAGAGGCACTGCCAAAACGACAATGGGTCTCTGACTTGGGGAAAACAACTCTGTCTAAGGCTCCTCATCCTCCTGCCTTTATCTCATCCTTTGTGGGCTGGGTCTCTATTTGTTTTAAAATTTGGAGTTTGTGGGGGCCTCCCTGGTGGCGTAGGAGGTTGAGTGCAGGCTGTGAAGCTGTCTGCAGCCTCTGCAGTGCGGGTTAGATCCCTGCCGGCCGTGGAGATACCCATATGGCACAGCAGACCTTTCCTGTAGCACCCGCTGCTCCCCTCAGCAGTGTATTTCGGTCAGTCTGCCTGTTCTGCTCCCCACTCTGTCTCTGGTATATCCTCTCACTGCCCGACCCCCTCCCCCCGGTACCTCTGGCCTGTACCCCAGTTCTTGTATAAATAAATCTTTAAAAAAAAATTGAGGTTTGTTACTATCAGAGAGGGTACAGCACCTGAGTAGGGTGGTACAGATTTTGCATCATATACACATTATATACATATTTTACTCATGTGCTTATAGGCAAATTAATATATAAATTATATAGATACTGCAAAGAAAGAGACAAGAGTTTCAATGGTATCAGCAGCTCTACGCTCATTCTACATGAGGGCGTGGACCATGAGGGCGTGGACCCCTCCCTTGTCACAGCAAGCCTCTTTGTGCTAGGTGTGATTCTGGTGTAAAAAGATATAGTCCAGGGCCTCATTGATGGCACAGGGGTTAAAGTCTCAGCGCTATCAAGCTATTGCATACTACTGTGGTATAAGTTCATGAGTTTGATACCCAGCCAGGGAGCTACCCACATAGAGCAGCAGACCTCTCCTGTCTTACTTGCTGCTCCCCTCAGCACTGTATTTCAGTAGAGCTGCCTGTTCTGTTCCCCACTCTGTCTCTGGTGAATCCTCTCATCCCCCACACCTCTGGCCTATACCCCAGTTCTTGTAAGCATAAATAAATGAAAAAATAAAAAAGTCTTAAAAAAAAAAAGATATAGTCCACATTTTGGGCACAAAATGCCAAACCTGAACAAACTATTTCTTTTGGTGTTCAGCTGAACAGAATTAGAGGAAAACAATTCTACTGGATTCACTGAGTCTCTAACACCATCTTCCTAAGGGAATTTTCAGAGATAATTTCCACTAAATTCAGTTTTTACCATATGTATTTAGAACCTACCCTCAAATCAGTCACAGCACAACTAAATAAAAAAGCACTTAGGCTTCGAGTCAGAAAGTGCTGGAAGAAAATCCTGCCTCCACCATTGACAAGCAGAGTGACTGGGAAAATCCTTTTACTTCTTTGAGTCTCTTAATTTGTTATCTCTAAAAAGGGGGCAGTAATAACATCCATCTAAGTATTCATGAAGCTCCCATGAGGCTGCAGTTCTAAAATTGGCGGCTATTACAACACAGTTAAGATCACTCCTGGCCATCAGAGACCCGGGGACAACGTGACAGTGGGAAGGAGCAGCAGAGAGGCTTTGTCCCCCTCAAAACTCACCCTCTGCCTCTTGAACTTGCTGCTGGGACTGTGTCTGCGACAGCTGCTTTTCTCTCTTCCTCTTCTTTTTCTTACCCTGAAAAAATACAGCCAAAGGAAGTGGTAACCAAGGACAGAATACCCAGCTTTTCAGGGAGATACCCAGATGGGAAGGTGGGAGACAGGATGTTGCCCACATTCCTTAGCCCTCCCAGGGGAGGGTGGCAGGAGAAAGGAAGCCACCCAGGGACTTTCCCCTCCCCCAGGGGCCTCAGGAGCAGGCAGAGTGAGCTTCCCAGACACACCACTCTCCTTTGCCCAACTGGAGTGTGCGGGCCCTGCTGGGAATGGCCTTGTCTTTTCCCTGTTCTTTTAATTTGCTTTTCATTTGTTTCCCTGAAACATTGACTCTTGATCTTTTTTTTTTTTTTTTTTTTTTTTGAGGAGACCCAGGGCCAACAGAGAATCTAATGCAGTTATGAATCCTCTTATCAGAACATACTCAAACCTGCCCATTCTCAGAGTTTTTGTGGTTTTTTTTTTTTTTTAAAGATTTATTTATTTATTTATATAAGCACTGGGTACAGTCAGAAGCGCGGGAGAGTGAGAGAATTCACCAGAGCCAGAGAGGAGAGCAGAACAGGCAGAAGGACAGACGTACACTGCTGAGGGGAGCAGCGGGTGGCAGGAGAGGTCAGCACGCCATGTGGGACCCTCGCCTGGTAGTCGGGGATCGAACCGGCACTGCAGAGCTTCACAGCCCAGCATTCAACCACTGCGCCACCGGGGAGGCCCTTTCAGAGTTCTTGATGTTTGCCCTGAGGCCCATGCTTTGGTCTCTGTGCCCCAGATTAAGCACCTGTGGCTACAGACACTCTTACCACCAGTGCTAGCACATGCCTCACGTTGCACCCTGAATTATGGACCCAAAGGCCGGGCCCAGGTCAGTAGGGAGGGGCACGCACTTCAGTCTGTCCTCAGGACACCAAAGGCATTCCTTGCTGACCTGAGAATTAAAGTGCCTTCCTTCTTATAGAGAGACCTATATTATAGACTTCTTCCTGGCCGAAGGGTCCTCTGTAAATGTGGCCACCTTCCTTCTCCCTCTTACAGAAGCTGCCCCTAGGCTGAGCGGGCACTTACATAGTTGTCCCGGGCTGACCAGGTCGGGTAGAGCTGAGAATGAAGTTGCCGCTCCTTGCGGGCCAGTTCGTAATACTTGGCCTGTTCTTCACGGGACAGGTTGTGCCACTGCAGGGGAGAGGGTCAGAGCCATGAGTGCAGGAACGCTGACCACCACGGCCCTCAGGCTAAGGGCAGCTCTTACCTTTCTTCCCAGGATTTGGTTAATGGCTGCACTTTCCTTCAGGGTGCACTCAGCCACCACCTTGGCCCTCATCTCCTTCATATACAACATGAAGGCATTAAGAGGCTTCTTCACGTGGGGTTTCTTTTCTTCTTCCTTTTTCACCGTGACCGGTGATTTCCTGGAAGCCACATGGCTGTAGGTTAGCATGTGTCAGCTGTCACCCCACTCACCACACCTGCCTCCCCAGGAGGCTTTTAGCACCTGAGCATCTTCCACAGGGGGTTCCTAATCTCTCAATTATGCAGGCCAACTTTAGTGGCAAGGTAACTTCCTGATAGAGGAGCAGGGGTGGTGGTGGGAACTGGGGTGCACAGGCCCCAGTTGATAAGGAGGAAGGGGGCAGGGCACTGTCAGCAGAAACAACAGGGGCATTGGCAGGGAGCCCCCTCAGCCATGTGGCACTGATCTGGCTTTCCTGCAGTCTCTATGGCCCAGTGGTCAGAGCACAGGCCTCTCAGCTCTGCTCCTACCACCCCGCCAGCGGCTGCCACGAGACCGGGAGGAAATCCTCCTTTCTGAATCTCATATTTCCATGTGTAATGGCGGGAGAGGGGAGGAGGGAAATTGAAAGCTTTCTTGGTTCTCCCTTTAGCCTCTAAATCCTTGACTATAAAACTTTCTTTAACATGAGAAAAGATGTGTGGGTTTCTGAGAGGACGAGAACAGAGTCAAAGGGAAAAGTTCCCAGAGGACATCACTGAGGGAGGCCGTTGGGCTACCAGCTAAATGCCTGTAGGAGACGCCCCCACTCCCCAAATCCAGGCTGCCCATTACTCACGCGCTCACAGCCGGGCTCAGGCTGGGGGGTGCAGGCTCCTGCTTGACAATAGGTGACACGATGGCGGGGTGGGGGATCCCTGAGGTGGGTAGACCAGGATGGGCTGGAGCCACCATATGAGGGGAGAACCGACTGGAAACCAGGCTAGGTACCGGGTGGAAACAGACGACAGAGCAATTTAGCTGAGTGTGTGTCTCCCAGCAGAGGCCATGGGTGGCTCTCCTTAAGGGCAGAGGCCAGCAAACACCCAGCCACGGCAGAGTCTGAGGAGCAGAAGGCTGTTTGCTGGCCTCGATGGAACCAGGTTTAGGAATCTCCAATAAATCTCCCCTTCCCCCACAAATGCACAGGGCTCTTCTATCTGATGCTGGAAGTGGTAGGATAGAAAAACACAAAAGTAGGGGTAGTGTGCCAGAGGCTGGGGCATGTGAATGGAAAATAAGGGCTTATGCTGTGGTTTCCCTTCCTTTGTCATTGGAGGTACGGCTGTACCTGTTGGCTGGAGCTGGGCCCTGCAACAGAAAGGCCTTTTTACTGTCCTCTCTCATGACCTCAGTTCAGGAAAACTTAAACTTCCATTCTCTGGCTTGAGCGTGAACGACTCAAAATGCTTCAGTGTCGTGAAGTCTAGCATGTGAGTTGGGGTACATGATGTGGCAGGAGGGTGGAGTGTGAGCGTCTGGAAATTCTTCTCTTAGTGAAGTGAGAAAACAATGAGCCTGTGTCTCCATTCTGAGCCTGGGGCATGCGGAGGCGCCTCAGCAGGGAGAGGTGGGAGGAAAGGTGAGGGCGAGCTGGTTAATGGTGAGAAAAGGGAAGGAGGCTAGAGAAACCACCCCCTGCACTGCCGCCTGGTGCTCACAGCCCCAGTGCCAGGACCCACCTGGACATGGAGGCGTTCATGGCGAGGGCAGGGTAGGGGTGCCGGAAGCCACCGGGAGGAAGGGAGTACATGGGCTGTCCTTGCCTGTAGGGAGCAGGAGCAAGGAAGTCTTGTTAGCATACTGGCCAAAACGGGACTGGTCAGGACAGAGAAGGAGAGGGGGTTGGGGGGAAGATGAGAAACACAGGGCAGGAAGTAGGACGAGTTGGGGAAAGCTGCCGGCGGAGAGCAGGGAGGTCTGAGTCCTGCTTTGGTGGGAGGGCGCTGCCACGGCATGGGGGTCCGTACCTAGACCCCGGGGTAGCCTGGAGGTACAGAAGGCAGAGCTCAACGTACAAAAGGAAGGAGGATAAGAAAGGTCCAAAGTTTCCTTACTGTGGAACGAGCCAGCCGAGGGGATGGGGGATTTGTCCGACAGCTCCAGGAGAAAGTGGATAGTATGGAGACAGCTCAGATGGGTGAGGGGGCCGGGGGATTCCTGCTTCCAAAGAGAGACATATCAGTTCCCTGGCCCTGCCTTAACACCTGAAAACGTCAAATGGGAGATTCCTTGCCCTGTGTCCCCAGTGTCTTGGGGCCTGGAGACTCTTTCTTTCGTTAGCCCGCCCTCTGTCACCTTCACAGCTCACTGCCAGCTGGTCAGGGACAAATTCAGTGAAGGCAGGACTTGTACAGCTTCTCTCTGGCTACCTGGACCTCATTTCTACAGGTAAGAGTAACTCCCATCTGCTTGTATAGACGTTAGCACCATCCAAGAGGGGACAGGAAATCTTGACGTGAGGGGCACCAGATCCCCCAGAGTTTCTAACTACTACTCTAGAAAACCTGCCTCATTCATAGAGAGATAAACTCCAGCTTTTTAGCCCACATTTGTCCTCCCTATTATCTGTAACATCCACTGACTGTGATTTCTCTAAAGAAGGTCCCCAGAATACTCTGAGCCATGACTGCTCTGAAAATTTTATGAACTATGGCTCCCCAGGGTGGACAGGTCTGGTGGGTAAGTTGAAAAAAAAAAAAAAAAAAACCCAATAAAAAAAGCCAAGTCAACCTTCTGCTTTATAACTGTACTTCTAAGACTGGAACTCAGCTCTGCTTGATTCCAGAGCGGTCACGATCCCTGAGAAAAGCCATCGCCCACCCCTGCCCCTGCATGGGGTCCAGCCTGAGGGGCAGAGACTCACCTGTCTTTGGATCGATCTCTGGGGAGAGGTGTGTGGGAGGGGAACCAGGGGAGAAGTGGTCGTTGCTGTAGGTAATGAGGGGCGTCAACGGGTGCATGTGATGTGGGTGCTGAACAACAGGAACCTTATTGGACTGAAAGACAGAGAGAAAATAGGGACCATTGACAAGGTAATAACAGTAAAACCAGTTATTATTTACGGAGTCGAATATGTGCCAGGTGTTTTCCCTGCAACACCCCAGTCAGTTCTCAGACAGCCCTTGAGAGAAGTGGCAGTCTACACAGCAGACAAAGAACCAGCCAGTTCTCTATAGAGATTATACCCATCCAGCAACATATTCTCTTCAGAACAACCCAGCATCATTTCTTCATATACACAGTATGGTAGTACAGGCCACAGGCTGCTGAATTTTAAACCATGCTCTGTGTAATCACGGGGAGTTTAAAATGGTTCAACACAAGCATTTTCCAAATAAGCTTCCCTGAAAGAGTAGTTCTCAAGCCTGAGTTGAAACGGGGCAGCAGGGGAACTGTCATCACCAAACCTCATCTAATCTATTCTCACATTCAGGTTTTACAGAGACACAGCCCAAGATCACTGAAAACACTTCGCTGACCTAATAACTGCATTCATTTAAAACACCAGTGAATGTAAGAAATACCATTATTTTTATGTAACTACTAAGAAAGATCAAACACTGGCATGTCATTGATACATCCTGGTTTCTGAGATGCTAAAATGGAAAAATACTGCATCTAGAATTGTAAACTGAATTAATGTGTTTTAAGCTAACCTGACTCAGTAAAGATCTTTATAATAAAAAGAACTAAAATGTATTGAGCTATACTGTACAATAAGTACAGGATTATATTACTACCTAGTCCTTATTATAACCTAGTAGAGAAGGTCTCATTATCTTCATTTGAGGGGTGAGGAAACTGAGCTCAAAAAGATTAAGTGATTTAGCATGAAATGCAGAGCTGGTAAATGGCAGACTGGATTCCTGTCAGTGCTTTCTCTTGTACTACCTGCCTCCCCAAGAGTATATTTAACAGAGATAAGACAGACTTTTAATTTTCAAAATAAGGTAAATGAGTTGCAAATGGAGAGAGATTTATTTTAGTGAGAGAGGTGTAAAAAGGATGATGATGTGGAAACAGTTCAAGGGCTAGGATTTCAACACTGCTGTCTTCCCATTTTGAGTTTTTCATTTCAGATTCCATAAACCTTTTTTCCCTTTCATACGTTGCCTATTTGATGCTTATGATGCAAACTCTGATCTGTACATATCCTAGGTATCTGTGTGCTGACAATAGTGTTGCTCCAGTTTCAGGAGGCAGAAAACTGGCCTCAAAAACGGGTTGCTCCCAGATCTGCAGATAGGAAGGCTGTTCATGGGCACAACCACCAGGAGGCGCTGGCAAATGGCTGGGACCTGCTGGGGGAAATGACGCAGAGCAACTTCTCATATTCTCCCTGCTGTAGGCGTATTTGATGTACAACCATTTCTAAAAAAATTTTTATTTTAAGTTTTCACCTGTTCCTTTGCTAGTTTTTGAAGCTATCTCCACGTGCATGAACATCCAGTACAAATAAGAGTATAAAAATATTTTTAGGTCAGATTTCTGGGAACCAGGTACATTTAAATGATAAATTTGTCTAAAAGGTAATATTTAGTTTCATAAAAGCAATAAGATTATTGCTAAAGTGATAGTAAATGATAAGTGATTTTTTATAACTAAAAAATAAACCATATGACTTAAAAATATAATGAACCCAAATTTTCTAGGAAAGAAATACAAATTGTATTATAAAACATTTAGAAAATAATCACACCAGCCTAACCCAGTCACTATTACTATTTTGGTATATATCCATCCATTCAGACTTCCTTGTTCATTTGTTTCTTAATTATACTTATGTCATTTATAACCATCTTTTATTTTTTTATTTTTTTTTTTAATAGAGGCATGTTTTATTTATTTATTTGTTTGTTTGTTTGTTTATACATGCACTGGGTACAGTCAGAAGCGCGGGAGGGTGAGAGAATTCACCAGAGCCAGAGCGGGGAGCAGAGCAGGCAGAAGGACCGAAGTACACTGCTGAGGGGAGCAGCGGGCGGCAGGAGATGTCTGCGCGCCATGTGGGACCCTCCTCCGGTGGCCGGGGAGCAGCCGGGGATCGAACCGGCGCCGCAGAGGCCGCGGGGCAGCTTCGCAACCCAGCGCTCAACCGCTGCGCCACAGGGGAGGCCCTATAACCATCTTTTAAATTAAACTCTTTTCAGCTTTATTAAGGTATGATTGACAAAATTGTAGGATATTTAAAGAGCACATGACAATTGGACATATGTATCTAGTCATCTTAAAATATGAATAGTACTATGCCCATGTGCTGTTGATTTTAGCCTGCTCAGAAGCTGGCAAACAGCCCTGAATGGGTGGCAGTTAATTATAAAACAGGCAAGTGTGAGTTAAATTTTAAAATGAAGGTATCTTCACTTAAATGTTCCGGGAGTTTTGTTGATTCCCATTAGATGGCATCTTTGTGTAGAAAATGGACTGGGAGGTGGTGGGTTCGCAAAGAGAGAAAGGCCAGCTTCCCTGGGCAAACTGGGAAGGTGTGGCCTCTGGGACTTATAAATGAGAACTTTCTTTAGGGATGATCAGGGAAGGTTCTCCTTGGAAGCTAAATCCTAATACAAGCCCCCGCTCTTTCTCCTCACCTGCCCTCAAGGGCGGGATATCTGCCTATAAACTCAAGCCAAGGGTAGGGACTAGGGATGTAGGGAACATCTCCTCACCTCTCAGTGGATAACCCTGCACAAATAACAGACACTAATGAAGGCATGAGTGTTCACCAGGTAAGGCAGCCACACTGGGATTCATCAAAAGAACATCTAAGAGCCATCTCGGTTCTGAATGTGGTCCAATCACACCAACCCAGCTGGTTGTTTGTTTCCCATCCAAACCAAAGTTCTTAAACTCCTGGCCTTCCAGGAAGAATGTGTCCTCGCTCCTGCTGTTAAGGACTTGCTTTCAAGCTCAAAATGGGCCAGGAGCCACATGCCATGACTGCAGTGTGAGCAGCCACCTTTCCACAAACCACCCCCACAAAGCCTGCCTCCCCTAGCCGCTTCTCTGAGCAACTTCTTTGAGATCCTTATAAGGGCTTGTAGCTCAGGTAAAGAGCTTTCACACAGTGGCCTCAATCTTAAAGCGGTCACTGACCAGCTGACATGCTGCCTGGGAAAGATGCTTAGAGTTTTACTGGATCACTAACAGAACCTGATTTTATATATTTAAGAAATTTGTCTTATTCACATTCAACTCTGTTGACTGACAGAAACAATCTTCTGTTATGACACCAAGAACATTCTCAAGAAACAAAGCTTCAATGTGTGGCTTGGGGGAAAAAAGAAACAGAAATTGTTCCTAAAACAATGTCTATAGATGAGATCTAAGGTTCAGAGGTCAGCAGAGAACTTGTTGGCTTAAGGCAGAGATACCTGCCGAGAATGCTCACCTGCAAGGGAAGAGCATCTCCCGGGGGCTTTCTGCCGCCAGCTACAACATTCAATACATGATTTTTTTTTTTAAAATAAATTTTTTTGGCTCTCAGAAGTAACTTTTTTTTTTTTTTTAAAGATTTATTTATTTATTTATACAAGCACTGGGTACAGTCAGAAGCATGGGAGGGTAAGAGAATTCACCAGAGCCAGAGGGGAGAGCAGAGCAGGCAGACTGACGAAGTACACTGCTGAGGGGAGCAGCGGGCAGCAGGAGAGGTCTGCGAGCCATGTGGGACCCTCGCCCGGTGGCTGGGGATTGAACTGGCGCTGCAGAGGTTGCCGGCAGCTTCACAACTCAGCGCTCAACTGCTGCGCCACCGGGGAGGCCCTCAATACATGATTTTAAAATTTGATTCTAAAATCTGGGACAGGCCAGGCCTTCAAATTTTTTTTTTTATCATGGGGCTCAATAAAGAATGTCAGCTTTGGCAGGTTCATTTTGGTTTGCACTTTTCTTAGCAGTTTTTCTAGTCAAAGGTTGCAATCATTCCAATTTAATACATTTCCTTATGGGTTGTTTTAGTTTAAATCTAAGGAATCTGTAGATCCAAGTAATCTGGTGTCGAGTAAACTGAAGTAGGTGCAAACTTACAACTAAGTGAAGTTCCCTAGGGAGTTTCCCTCACATTTCCTAAAGATTAATTTTTTCCTACCCTATATTTTCAGATTAAAACATATACATGTTTTAATGTATATGTGGGACACTTTTCTCCCCACCCCCACATGTGTGTACCTCAATATAACATCTGTGCTGCACTCCTCTGAAGATAACCACGTAGATTCATTGCTCAGCTTCTGGGACAGAGAAAACTTTCCCTGCAAGTATCCCATTCCAGGTCCTAGAAATTCTTCTGTATTTTCTCCTTCCTACTCCTGTACATTGACAGACTTATCACTTAGAAAAATATTTCCTCTCCCTGATGAAAAGCCATCAAATACTGGAAGAGATGGACCTTGTTTGCGAGGCTTTCTCTTTGTTATGCTCATATGCCACCGCTTGGGCCTCTTCACCATTTGCTGGCCCCTGCCTGTAAAGCACCCCACGTCTCTCTAACTAGAAGGAGCTGGCTAGTTGGCTGGTATGGAAAATAAGGTTGAAGGGTTTTACATATGACAGAAACAAGGGCAGATAGGAACTTAATTAAAGTTGGGGGGAAGCCCCCCTTTCTTTTTCCACATATGCACACCTCTCTAACAGACACTACTTTAAAGGCAGAATGTATGCTCTCTGTGGATTGTGTCATCCTACTGAGGAAATTGGAACAAATGGCTCATACACAGGCTTTTTCACTTGCTGAAAGAAATGGAAATTCACACTTTTACTTACTGGAAAAATGTCTGTAGAGACTGTCTACATGGCAGGACTGAGTTGGGCAGCCAAAGGGGTAGAGGTTGATAAATGCAAAGATGGGAAGAACCTGGATCTCCAAGGACATGGCCGAATTGCTGAACTAACTGGTTCAAAACAGATTTTAAGCACAAGTAATATTTATGTTGCCACAGCTATGATGTGCCAGGTGCTGTTCTAGGTAGGTCTTGTGAATGCCCTAGAGACTTTTGTCTATTTAGATAAAAATACCTACCCTCACAGTATTTGTATTCTAAATGGAGAGACAGACAAAATAAGTAAGTAAATAATAGCTTAGGCAGTGTAAGTGCTAAGGAGGAAAACATCAGTCAGGGACAGTAGAGAAGAAATGAATGGGGGGTGGGTTTTAAGTTGCACAGGTTGACCAGGAAGAAATGACTTTGCGTAAATACCTGAGGGAAGTGGGAGGTGGGATGTGTAGATATGTGGGGCAAGAGCATTTTGGCAGAAGGAACATCAGTGCAGTGACCTTGAGGTGGGCAGCATGCTCGGCACGTTTGAGGAATCCCACGGAGGCCAGTGGACTGGAGCAGAGATAAGAAAATGAGGAGACGAAGAGCTATGTTAATGTATTAACAAATATTTTCTGAGCTTGTGATAACAGGACAAGCAGTGGACTACAGGCTATGAGAGATGTAGAGATAAATCAAGAGTCTGCAGAGCAACAGAAGAGATAAAATGCTCGGGGAATTGGAATGCACTCCAGGTCCTTCTTAGCAGTGGTGCATTTTTGAGGTCTGCAAATTGGAGTGGGCATACAATTCTTGGAATACATTTTTGCTTATCAAAACTTTCCTTTCCCACTGTTTCCTGCATAAAGAGGGCATGGAAGAACCCTGAGGTTACCTTTACGTTTGTCCCTTGGGCACTGCCTGTTTCCTGCATAGATGACTGTAAGGAAAAAAGCCTTGCAATTCAATTTGTTGCCAGAATGTGTCTCTGGGAATGCCAATTTTCATGGAATTCAGGTGAGCTCGTTCAATCTGTCAATTCCAGTTTTTGTTCATAAAGCCCAGCTTAAGTTTCTTTTCTTACTGCCTTTGGTTGTTTTCATTTGTTTGGGTCTCTTCTTCAGAAACACTAGCTGTAGATTAGTTTTTTGGTTCTGCTTCTCTGTAGCCATCGTGTTTTTTTTTTCATCAGTGTTGTCATACACAGTTTTCACTGGTCACAATGCCTACTCTGCTCTACACTACGATTAATGAGCGGGGAGATGTAAAAATTTCAAAAGGCCAAACCCCAGTGGCAGAAACTAATGAAAGGAATGATGGCAGGAGATAACCATCAATACCTGCCCAAATTAGTGGGTGAAAGTTCGATAAGAAACAGGACACGTACACAGATTCTAAGCCTTTTCCCAGAGCACCTATTAATTCCAAAGGGAAAAAAAGGTAACCATGCAGTGGAAACACATGGCAGGAACCAGCTTAACCAAGTGATCAAAGCAATATCACCAATATTGGGACAAATGGACATGCTAGCTAGGCTATCTCCCAACGGGATGTGCTGAGGACACCACACTGGCGCGGTTGTGATCTCAGTAAACACACACAAGCTGAATCTGACCATGAGGAATCAGCAGAGGAATCCAAACTGAGGGGTAGTCTGCAAAATAGCCGGTCTGTGCTTCTCAAAAAAGGTCGAGGTGAGGAAAGATGAAGCTAAGGAACCCTGCCAGATTAAAGGGACTATAGACACAGCCGGTAAATGTGATGTGTGATCTGGGCTGCACTTGGCCAGGAACACAGGGGCTTTAAGGGACTCTATTGGGGCACCTGCCAAACTTTGAATAATATTGTGGTTAGCTAACAATAGGAAAGATAAATTTCTTGATTTTGACAACTACTGTGGTTCGCTTTGTTCTTGAGAAATTCTAAAGTACTTAGAAGTAAAGGTATGGTATCTCCAATGTAACTCTCAAATTGTTATAAAAAACAAGTGTATGTTTGTGTGTGTGTGTGTGTGTGTGTGTGTGTGTGTGTGTGTGAGAGAGAGAGAGAGAGAGAGAGAGAGAGAGAGAGAGAGGCAGACAAAGCATGGGGCAAATTTTCTGAATTTGAATAGTTTATGGGAGTTCCTAGTATTTTTCATCAATTTTCCATTAAGTTTAAAATTATATCCAAATATCATTTTAGTACAGAAAGTTAATACTGTGTACTAAGATTTGAAATTAATACCAGAAAACAGAGAAACAACAGGCTATATGATGAGTTTTGGGGTTTTCTGGATCTCCCCAGTATACCGTTGAAAAGCTGGAGAGGTGATGTACAATTTTCAAAAGGAAACTCCAATTCCTCAGTTACTTGAGAACTGGCATGCTAGCAAAGTCTGACTTCTTAGCTCAAAGACAGGCAGCAAGATAGCCACTGCTCAGAAAGACGGCTTGTGGGCATGGGCTTCAAGAACAGTCAGTCATAGGCGACGAAGCCCTGGAATGCACCTCCCAGCGAGGCTGAGTGCTAAACACTACAGCCGCCTATTGGCTGTTATTGAAGGCAGCTTTTGGTCATCATCTAGAAAGCAAGTCACAGATGCGTGCATAAACACACAAGCAGAAAAGAGGGGAATGCAATATAAAAAGGTTTGTGAGGGCCTCCCCTGGTGGCACAGGCAGTGGAGCGCAGCGCTGTGAAGCTGTCTGCAGCCTCTGCAGCATGAGTTCGATCCGGGCCGGCCAGCGAGATACCCACATGGTGCAGCAGACCTCTCCTGTCTCACCTGCTGCTACCCTCAGCAGTGTATTTCAGTCAGGCTGCCTGTTTTGTTCCCCGCTCTGCCTCTGGTGAATCCACTCACCCTCCCGTACATCTGGCCTGTACCCTGGTTCTTGTATGCATGAATAAATAAATCTTAAAAAAAAAACAAACACAAAAACGCTTGTGGATTGTAGGATTATAGGTCTTTTTCTGTGTGCCTTGGTATCTCCCCAAATATTCAGCGCAACACATGCCTTAATTTTAAGGGTTTTAAAAGAGAGTTTATTAAAAGAAATCCTCGAGTAGAGGGAACAGACCCAAGGGTTAGAGGGACTTAGAAGGGCATCAACCTTTCCCCCATCCATTTATTCTTCCCTGCATTCAACAAATGCTCCCGAGTATCCACTCTGCCAGGCACCGTGACAGGTGCTGGATGAACAAATGTGAACAAACCAGATGTGACTCCTGTCTTCCTTTGGTCATATTCTGGATGTGAATATACTTGTTTTGCAATGCTGGGCATAAAATCCAAGTAATAACACTAACTCCATCCCCGCCCTAGTCCCGTCATGGCCTGTTTATACACACTTCCTTGACATGAGCTTCAACATGACTCATGAAATATCTGCAAGGACGCAGGCTGTTTCCTTCACTTGCCCTTCTTCCAGGCAAACCTCATCTGAAAATATTTTATTCTTGCTTCTACAATAAATTTCATAACCAAGTATTTTCATTTTTCTAATAAAAAAATCTGGTGGCCAAACCTCCATGACTGGTTCTGGTAGCTTGAGTCCTGCTCCTCATACCTCCAGCCTAGAGAAAGTGGCACCCGGTAAACTGGAATGGCCTCCAGCAACTTCTTCCCCTTTGCTTCTGATTTGCTATTAGGGCAAAGCATCTCAATTCTGGCGGCCCCTGAAAATCTCCTGGGGAGCTTCAAAAACTAAGAGACTAGCCGTACCCCAGACCAGTTAAATCAGAACCTTGGGGGATTAGCTGCTGGGTTCTATGCATTCAGTATCTTTATTACCTTTGCAACCTGTCCATTTGCATTGGCACCTGATTCCAGCCCTCTTCACCTCTAATGAAACATTCCCTCTGTTAATAACAGTGTGGTGGCAGTGGTAAGCACACACTTATTACATGACAATGCACCGGCTCATTTATTTTCACAACTCTATTGAGGTCAAGATCTCTTCTCATTCCCAACTTACAGATGAGGAAATCAAGACAAAGAGAGATGAGGTAATTTGTCTGAAGCTGCACAAATAGAAAGAGGCGGCGCTGAGATCCAACCCTCTGCGTGACAGAGCCTCCGACACTCGCATCACCCTCCCAGGCATCGCAGGTTTTGTTCCTACATACATGGATCTCAGAAGTTGGAATGAGACGGTTTGACTTGAAAATTTTAAATGGTGCTCTTCTCTCCACTGTAAAATATCAAGTTAATATTAAGTGTTCCTACCATAAATGTCCCTTAAGCTTTTGAGGCATCTTTTCACTGTTCTATATTAAAAGGCAGTAGGATGCATACAACTTATTAGAAAACTATCTGTTTTTTTTTTTTAAATCTACTAGTATCAGTTGTTCCTGGTTCTCCATTCTCAGACAAAGCAAGGACAGGCTGAGTACCAGGCTGAGTCAGCAGCTGCCCAGCACACATCTGCAGAGGCCCCATGTTTGTCCAGCAGCTGGAGCTCTGGTGTAGAACTTTGTTGAAGGCTTTAAGGGGGAATAGCTGGCTTACTGCAGAAAAGAATCTAGAAAGAAAATGTAAGCTTAGAGAGGATGGAGAATGGACACTGTGCATTCCTGTCCTGGGAGCCAGTGGAAGAAGGATACAGGAAGCAGAGGGTTATAAATAAATAGTGTCGGATGTCACCAGTGTTGAGAAAAAGTAGACTGGGTAAGTAATTGGACTTGGGTTTTAGATGCAACTGGATAACTGAGCCAGAAGGTGGAGATATTTCAGCCTAGCTCTTGTGTGAGATCAGCAGTGGCAACCAGAAAGGAAACAGGATGATGCTCATAGGAGGAGGAGGGTGGACAATGGCCCTTTATTTTATTTTTCAGAGATGGATTGCTCTGTGCAACAGGAAGGATGGGAAATTCAAAGAGTACATGGTGCTAGTTTTGAAGGGAACTCGCTTCCTCTAAAAGGAGATGGAGATTTTAGACAATATGCAGGGAGAGGATGCATGGAAGGAAGGAGGGAATGTCCTGCCATTTCGGCTCTGCTGGGGGGACTGCGGGAGGCCACAGGATGGGTGGGGGGAAGCAAAGACTTGAAATAGTTAAAGAGAGACAGCTGTGCTGGAGGGGAAAGCAGGTTTGTGGTGGCTGGATGCAGGATGCCACCCCCCTCCACCACTAGAGGGCGCCTGCACCCCACGCTCTGCCATCCCAAATGGGAGCCTGCAGGAGTAGAGCCACCAGCGTGGCCTTCTGGGATGCTGTGCCAAGGAGTGCTCAGGCCTTGGGGACCGGCCACAGAACCTCTCAAGGGCAGCCCGCACTGGATGGCTGGCTGGTCGTGCTGCTCACTTTTCCCTACACCGCTCACTTTTCCCTACACAGTCATCGGTCTCTCCCAGAGACTGTTCCAGAGGGGCCATGACAACGATCTGAGAACCTTGCTTGACACTGCTTTGAAAACCACCAGGGCTCTGCCACTGCAAGCTGGTCTCACAATTATCGACAATTTTCCAGCCTCATGTGTATCTCCTCAACGAGACTCTTGAATTTGTAGTGAAAAATCACTACCAGGGCATCTTAAAATGTCCTGAATAAGATGAAGTGCTATCCCTCGGATTTGCCTTAAAATAACTCAGTGTGGTGGGAGGAAACATTTGAAATTTATCATAAGAAAGTTCCAAAATCATAACTATTCCCAGGTCTCCTTGGCCATAAAATGGATAGGTCATGCCAGCTGGGGTGTTTTCTAGCTGCACCCACTATGCATCTGAGTCTCACTCACGCCCCTCCTCCCCCATGAGCCTGAGAACACCAGTTAGCTTTGGGGAGTGTGGTTTTTAAGGCAAAGGGTTATCCCAAGTTCCCAAAGAAAGTCCAGGGCAGGAGGATGCAAGGTTCTGGAGCGTCTCTCTCATCTGCCTGCGACCTCAGCCTGTTGCACGCCAGGGGCAGGTGAGGAGACCCGTGCAGGACCCACTGCTCCTGCCTCCTAGGGGATCAGACCTTCCTTGTGGCCATGTTGCCACAGGGCTTGGCAGAAAAACTTTGGCTGCTGCCCCACAGGGGTTTTGTTTGCATGATTTAATTAATTATTTCCTATAACATCCTGTACAGAAGAGCCTTTTCAACTGCTGCCTTGACGCTCTGAGGGAAGAGTGGAGGCAATACTGAACAAGCTCCGACAGGAGAGAAGGGCAAAGACGCTGCCCAGGTGCTGGGGCCAGAGGAGATCCACAGCAGCAGGAAGGGCCGGCACTGCCATCTGGGTGGAGCCGGTGTTTCCAATCACACAACATCCTGGGTGGGTGGGTGTTGGTGTGAGGGGTAGGGAAGCGCACGGTAACAACCTACTCACTAGTCAGCAATTGGTAGCTGAATGAACCACCCTCAGCTGGACTCTTCCTTGCTGTGCTCGCACATTAAGGCAACACCACCAGACCCCATCAGCTTCTGGAAGGTGGAGGGAAAGCAGTGACATGGAACAAGGTGAGTGTCTCTTCAGCCCCTTCAGGAGAAACAGACTTACCAAGTGTGCTGGGGATGGTGACCTGGTGTCCTTGACTGTGGCGCTGGAGGGGACATCCAGGAGAGGCCATTTCATCTGCAGGTACTGCACAGAGGACAGAAAACACAGAGCTGGTGAGAAGAGGCCTCTAGAGTGCCTGGAATAAGGAGCTCTGGGGTTGGGCTGCTGGGGGTTCATTAACTGCACATGCTCTTTACTACGTCAATGTCCAGCTGATTATCACAAAGTAGAACACACACCTATGATCACTGCCACCACCAGGAGCCCCCTCTGTCACTTGGGGTGGACGGAAGGGGACATATGACCACACCACCGAACAAAGTATTCAAAGAACTTATCAGTGAGGATCAAGGCCTCTGCTGTAACCACAGAACAAGCAGGGACCAAGGTCCCAGGGGGCAATCCTGCCCCATTTCTTTCCAGAGCTTACAGCATCATTCACAACACTCCCTAAACCTCTCCAGAAGTATCTGGTGAATGAACCACCAGATGAATGAATGAGAAAACAAACAAAACAGAACAAAACAAAACAAAACTATCTGCCTGACACTCACAGGGTCCATATTCAAGGACACTGAACAATAACCTCCTTATGTTTCTCAATGTGAAAAGATAATCCAGTGCCCTACCTTCTCCCATGCTTATTACAAAAAATCCAAACCAAATGGTAAATCCATGCCCCCCTTAAACAAAAAGCAGATCTGGAGCCAAGCATTCATGGGTTCTGATTCTCACTCTGCTGTGTGACCCTGGACAAGTGTCTTAACGACTCTGGGACTCTGTCTTAGCCTGTAAGGCAAGGCTATTATCACTAATTTTACAGGTTGTTAGAAAGATTAGGGACAATGTCAAATGTTGAACTCAGTGCTTTGCATGTGGGAGACATATGACAAATGGCAGCTATTATTTTCATAAGCAAACCATTAGTCTTTGCCAGGAGCAAAAGCACACATGTAGGCTTAGTGTCAACACTGATACGGTGCTGCTGGGCAGCAGACCAACTGCAGCCTCTGGGCAGGATTCTTGAGGCTGCTTTAGAAAATAAAGTTTCTAATAGATGTGGTGGCTCCAGGAAAAATTTCGTAGACAGAAGTTTTTGAATCATCCCTCCCTCTAGTCATTCTGTATCGGGAGGGGAAAAAAAAAAATCATGATTTAGCCTCCAGTTATGTGCACTAATCAGGGGCTCTTCATCAGCCACAAAAATAAACCAAACAGGGCCTCCCCAGTGGCGCAGTGGTTGAGCGCTGGGTTGCGAAGCTGCAGCCTCTGCGGCACTGGTTCGATCCCCGGCTGCTCCCCGGCCACCGGAGGAGGGTCCCACATGGCGCACAGACCTCTCCTGCCGCCCGCTGCTCCCCTCAGCAGTGTACTTCGGTCCTTCTGCCTGCTCTGCTCCCCGCTCTGGCTCTGGTGAATTCTCTCACCCTCCTGTGCTTCTGACTGTACCCAGTGCATGTATAAACAAACAAACAAACAAATAAATAAAACATGCCTCTATAAAAAAAATAAAATAAATAAAATAAACCAAACAGACAGGGACTGGGCTTACAGAAAGGTGTCCTCAGGCAGCAGTAATCACCCAAGGGCACATCCACCAAGGGCCAGCAGGAGTAAGGACCAGCAGGTGGGATGAGCCAAGCAGGTCTGGCTGTGGGAGGTGGGAAGAACGGGGTTCTGAGAGCCCCATGAGTGGGGACAGTCTTTCCACTCTGGGCCCGCTTGCACCCTGCACCCCACCCCTCATGTGCACTCTTCCCTGTGTCCCTGACCTCTGCTGATCTTATTTTCTTCCTCCCTTCTTTCCCACCGGCACAATCTCCATCCCTACTCAGAGCCCACATTTCCCAAATGAACTAACTGGGATTTAAATACTTTTGGCAAGTTAAAAGCACTGGACAAATATTAGTGTCATTAGTTAAAATTCATTTCCTCTGTGAATAACACTTGTGGCCCCCAGCAGTTTCCACATCATTTCCATCCACATAACTATCTTTGCAAACACCCTGCTATTGTAAATAAAGGTGTCAGTCCCCAGTTAGCAGATGAGGTAAGGGAGGTAGAAAGAGACTATGGACTTGCTCAGCATTCTGAGAGCTGGAACCAGAGCTTTGGTCTTTTGATCCAAACCCTGCATTTTTCATTTAGCATGAGCCGAGGCTTTCCAGGGCGCTCTCTCTGGAACACGCTACTCCCCAGTCCAGCCTCTTCTTTGCTGTGATGGGTTTTCTCCTTCCTTTTCTCCAGCACAGCATGGCCACCCAGAGGCTGACAACACACACATCCCGAGTGCTGCTGGGGTGGCCATGAGGTGACCAGCGCTTACAGTCATGTAAACATTTACATGATGTGTGTGAACATCACACGCATTTCTCTAGAAGTGACCATGTGATCATTTCTGCTTGTTTTTTAAAAACTAAACACAATCACAAATATCAGGTGCAAAAGAGAAGTGTCCCCAATTCACCTCCCTAATATTGAACACTATAGAAGGGTTCCTAAATCCATTAACTCTGCCAACATCTGACTCCCTGTTTAGACATGAGACTCATGCTGAACACTCTACATTCATTTTTGTCAGCTTCCCAGGGGTGCTGTGAGATCACATGGGCTGGGGCTGGCCCTAGGGAACTGAGCTGAGTCCTAGCTGGGGACTGTGCTGACCTTGAGGGTTGTTTGGTGGAGCTGGCTTGGAGGATTCCAGTACAGGGGTTGTCAGCCTCATGGTGGCAGGATGGGCTGGAGAGTGCTTTGTTCTGGGGACTGTCCTGTGCATTATAGATTATTTAACAGCACCCCTGGCCTCTACCTATGAAATGTCATAGGTCTCCTGCCTATTGCTGATGAGTAAAATCGTCTCCAGATTTTGTCAAATGTCTCCCAGAGGAACAAAAGTGCTTCCTGGTGAGAACCATGGCTCTAGTGGCTGAAGAACTGTGACCCAATACAATCTGGAGCTGCAGGAGGCTCTGTCTGCCTTGTACTGGGGCTATCAGGTGCAAACACACACATGAACACACACACACACAAAGTAGGGAAGGGAGGGCTTTTAATAACGGCTATCATTTTGGTTTGTCTATCATGCTTAGAGTTTTACTTTCTGAGTAAGGGGCCTGGGTATCTAGAGGGAGGAGACCAGACTGACCACTTCTCCCCTTAGTGTCCACTCTCACTCACTGGCTTTAACTGAGGCCTGGAAGCTGGGAGGGTGGGTGAAAATCTTCAGCCCTGTTCACCAGTGCAGTCTGGCTCCTTGCAGATCTCTGTCAAACAGGTGGGGAGAGTGGTCCTCCCCTGGTGGCGCAGTGGTTGAGTGCTGGGCTGTGAAGCTGCTCGCAGCCTCTGCAGCGCCGGTTCGATCCCCGGCCACCGGCGAGGGTCCCACATGGTGCACAGACCTCTCCTGCCACACCCGCTGCTCCCCTCAGCAGTGTATTTCATTGGCCTGCCTGTTCTGTTCCCCACTCTGGTTTTGGTGAATTCTCTCACCCTCCCGTTTCTGACTGTACCCAGTGCTTGTATAAATAAATAAATCTTTAAAAAAAAAAAACTTGGATGCCGGGGGAGAGATGGTTCTGGAATAGTGTGCATCCTGCCCCAGCCACATGGGGGATTCTTGGGGGTGCAAAGAGGAATTCATCCTGAAAGATTGGGGAGGGGAAGGCTGTCCTGTTCCCCTTTCTGCCTTTTTAAGATTTGGAAACAAGTGAGAGGATAGAGGTGAGGGAAGAACTCTAAGACCCTGGAATCCCAATCAGCTTAGCCGTGAAATACCTCTAGACTGCAATTTCAAGGAAAGGAGCATTCTAAAGGCACAGTCCAGCTTCCCAGAACCATGAATGAGGGTAGAAGGTGCCAGCCACAGCCCTTGAAACCCTCCCTTACCTCAGCACAAGGAATTTGGAGATGGCTAAACAATTCTGAATTCCTGGGTCAGGGCCAGCCCAGTGCTGAGAGGAAATAAAGCCCTTCTTGGCTGTCATTCTCATGTGAGGCCAGCACCATCATCGCCCATGGCTAATCACTCATTGGTGGGAGTGTGTCCTTGGGGATGAAGATGTGTGGCTGGGCCTGGATTCTTTGCATGGTAGTGGCGTGCGGCAGATTAAAGCTGCTGGTTTCTCCAAGCCCAATATGGGCTTCATCCAATTGGCTACAACTGGCTCCTGACCAGTGATGATGGCTGGGCTACAGTCCAGCCACCTCCCTCCCGAGGGATGCACATTGGAATGGAAAACATGGGATTGGGGTGGGGGTGTCAATGCAAATGATGGTCAGGCATAGCGGTAGAACTGACTTACGGGAGGCCGTTTATGGGATAACTGTTCTCTTCTGCTGTTCAACAAGAATAGGAAAAACCAGTCCCGAATGGGGAGAACTACCATCCCCGATTTATAAACGCCACTTAATATACTGTTGTGTGTCGTGACTCTGAGATAGGACAGACAGGCAGAATATAGGAAATGCTTTTTTGGGGGGCTGGGGTTCCACGGACACTTGGGGAAGCTCTGCTACTGTGGTTTGCAGATGAGGGTGAGGCTACGGTTCAGAACCTGTCTTTCCCTTCTTGAGGAAGGTTGGTTCCACCCCTATTTAAAACGTTTTCACCACAGCAAGAGTGGAATCCTCTCCAGTGCTACCAAAACAGTTCACTTGTCACTGCCTTGCTGCATTCGTGACATGTATATATAGCGACTGATTTTCTTCAACTTGCGCCCCCAGGCTAACCCTGTTTGGCCTTGGTGGCTTGTTCATTCTTGTGCTACACTGTGGAATGCTAATCACCAGTGTTTTAAGGTGCTTTTTTACTTCTACATTCCTAAGTAGGAGTGAACACGTTTTCTTTTTTGTGTGTGATATCGTTATCAAATGTGGCTATCAGTGTTATTTTGACTTGTTTATTTATAAGGGGGCTGCTCCTCTTTTTCTTAATGTTCTAGGTCCCTTTTGACTTCCTGGGCTCCTCTCCACTGCATTCCCAGGGGGATCCCTTGGCCAGGTAGGCTGTTTCCATTGACTGGGGTGGGCCGATGTTGAGAAGGTTCCTCTGAAGGGTGCTCTCACTGGACAGCCAGAGCTCCTTT